TAGAGGTACATCTGTGTCTGTGAGCTATAGATCCGGTCCAAGTCTCAGTCTACACTCTAAACAAGTTTCAAAGAGATTCTTGGCAAATGAAGAGGGGAAATACAAGTCTTTTTGTACCCTGAAATTTCCCAGGAATAAAACAAATGCACAGTCAAAGCAATTCAAATGACCTTTCGGGAGATCAGTCATAGAACCCGTTAATTCATTTCTTTTTAAACAGATGGAGTTTGCAAATTTACTTTGGGTTTATAGGTTAACCTGTTCTATTGCCATCATGGCCAGACCTGATTTCTGACACAAGACCCAGCTCTGTGTTCACAAGAGTCTCCGTGCTGAAATGCATAGGATCTGCCCAACATAGACAGGGCATCATTAGGATAACTCAGTAAGAATCTGCTAAAGGATGTATCGGCTCTTGAAGCCACATTACGTGCACATTACAGCAAGTCAGGCATCTCCCCACCAAAAGTCAGATGAGAATCAAGCAGAGGATCTCACATCCAGGCTCACACAAAGCAGTGCATACCCTGGGGAAAGCCTTGCTGAAATCAGTGTCTGTCAGCAAAGCTCTGCACAGCACAGTCCAGTCCACAGCGTTTATAGCTGAGGGTTGTAGCTGCAAGCTTCAGCCTGATTCCCCACGGCACAGGAGGGGCAGTAAGTTACAAGTATTCCCACTTTTAAGGTGCTTGCCTGAAGAGTTTTATTCCTGTAACAGCAAATAACTGTCCCTCATCACCTTGTATTGCTGGAGCAGAAAATGCCTCTGCAACTGTGGCTTTCTTTGGACTATGTATTTGGTGGCCCTGATACACCCACCTCAATAGAGGCTTTGTTTGCTTGTGCACTGGGATCATTTACAGGCAGTGAGTAAAGAGCAGTGATGCTGCTGAGGCTCTCCAAGGAGCTTGGCAAACTGACTTCAGCTGCTTCCCCCAGGTTACCTCCTTCCCTGTCCAGTTCTGCTCATGACTCAGTATGGTGCACGCCTGCAGAGAGCTGCCACTGGGCTAGGACCCAGTTACTTCTCGTTTCTGCTTTCTCTTTGCTTCCAGTTCACACACGCCAGCTTCACCAACATGGGTGAAATAAGCCTGTGGTCCCTGGCAGAGTTACAGAGGCTGTGAGCAAGGAGTACGCTGGAGCTTTTGTCTGTGCATCAACACCACCACTGTCAGGCGCAGCCTGGCGGCAGGCGTTTATCCCAGGTGATGCTGTAAAGGGCAGAAACAAGATTCCAAGCCATTGCCTTGCACACAGGGGCTGCAGCGCTGGGATTGTGAAAGCTCTCCCAAATTAAGCTGACCTGCAGGAATAAGCCTAAGCAAGAGTAAGCCATAATGATCACAGCTCTTTGAAAACCTCTGTTTCAATAGTGAGACTTTAATAGCTTTATAAAATCAGGAAAGTATTTATTATCACAATTCACAGATGGCAACATAAGGACTGAGAGGCAGTGGCTGGGCCAGTCAGATGCTCCTTGAGATCTGTGTGTGCTTTGTTGCTATGGGGCCAGCAAAGGGTGATTGCGCATGTCTCGGGCTGAACGTGTACGCATTAAAGCAACCATAGACAGGGGCCACTTGGAAAATGTTGCCCATGACGTCCTGAGGGTCCCCCAGAAAACCACTGGCACTTTATTCATCAGCCAAAGATGAGCACAGATTAAGAACTCAGTTGTGCAAGCAGCTGGGTAACTGCGGTCCAAGGGAAGGGACTGATGTGGCTGTGCTCTTCCTCGCTGTGCTCACCCCAGAGCCCTCGCCCAGGAAGTCAGATTGCTGCACGGTGGCACAGAGCAGTGCAGGAGCTTGCCTACAGGAACAGAGCGTGCCACAGTTTTCCATCAGATCTATGTGGGAGGGTTATGGCTCTGTTCTGCCCATCTGACTGAGCACAGCAAGGGTGGAAGTATGACAATAATTTGCTTATCTACTGGAAGGTCTCCTGTGCATCCTTAGGAAATAGCTGGCCCTGACCACTGCTGGTGGGGAGGCAACGAATTTGACGTGCTTTGGGGAACTCAGAATCGTCATTGCTAAGGTCTGTCCTGCTGCGAGCTCCATCCTACCGCTCCACATTGTGAACACAGAGGAACAGGAGCAAGTTTAAGGGACTCTAAGACTTCACATTCCTCCTTTAGATGGTGAAAACGCTAGCGACAGCAGGGCTCGTTTGTTGATGTCTGTTTGCAGGGGTTTATTTGTTTGAAAAGGCTAATCAGCTATCAGGATGCAGAGGCAATTGCTTAAATGTAAAGGAAAAGGGAGAAATTGTTCAAAGCTATTCAGATGAGGGAGCATGGTTTGCGTTTTGATGTCGGTGTGCAGCCAACTGACAAATGCTGAGCCACAGTCTGGTGTAAATCCAGATGAATTCCATTAGAATCAACAGACTTGCTTCCAATTTATTCTGATGTAACAGCGAGCGTGATATTTCCATTTAGATTTACATTAGATTTGTTTCCTGTTTTCCATAATTCAGTCGCTTTCCATTGTGTACAAAAACAGCCTGGGCCAGATCTTGATCTCATTTGCATTGGATGAAAACAGTTGTTTCAGATGGAGCTACTCTGGATCTCTAATGGCATAAATGAGAGGAGAATCTGGTCTATTCCAAGTGAGAAGCTCCCAGGGCACTGCCATGTGAGAACACCTCTGCCACAGTGAAGGGATCAGGTCTTTGCCATTGATAGCAAGGGAGGATTTTCATCTAAGTCCTCTACTGGAGCCCCAAGCTTGACACCTTCACACACACAAGGTGTAGAAGCCCCTCTTCCCTTCAGAAGGTGAGCTGACAACCAAACACCTCCATCATCTCACAACCTAACTGAGAACTACCATGTGTTAGCTTAGAAGAAAGTCGGGAGCAGGAGCTCAGCTTTACCTGCCAGAAGTCTCCCTCAAAAGCTATAATGGCCCTGATAGATTTCATTTGACACACACATTGTTTATAACCCAGGTTTCCCATGTTGCCTTCTGCCTCTTCCCTAGAGGCCCTTCCGACTTCCCTTGCTCAGCTGTAATTGGAAACGTTAGGAGCAATACAATGATTCTCTGGCAGATAAGGCTGTCTGGTTTGGTGGCCACGCTGCTAGCAATACATTGGGTTATTACTAATAACTAAGAGGGTTATTCCCAGCAACATGTGCAATCAAATGGATTTACTCCTTCCCATTGAAGCTGTTTATTTCACTGCTAGCAGGAAAATAAGGCCATTTAGAGTCATTTATGGTAGTAGCAAAGGCTTTTCTGAGTAGACATACAAGCTATGTTGCCATAGCTTCTAGGAAGACTTTGAACTCAGCTCATCCATCTGGCTTCAGAGCATCTCACCCTTGTTCCTTGCTGTCCTCTAGAATGGGATATGAAGAGGCATCGTTCTCCCTCTGGACCTCAGGTTGCGTACGAGCTCAGCTAGCCCTTAAAACACTGCCCTCCTGGCTGCCAGCTGTAGTGGTTTATATGTATGGATATTCCACCTCAGCTCTCAAACATGGCTTTTGCTATGAAAACATGCACTTTGAGTCTTTGCTACCCAGGGCCTGGGGAAATGCAAAGCTGATAGGCAGTAAAAGCAGCTACATCAGCAGCAGATCGCTTTACCTTTGCAAATGAAGACATACCTGTTCCATTTGCGTTTGCAGGACTCCTGTGTGTTTAATTCCACTGGAACTTTACATTCCTTCACAAATTTAGGTATTTCTCTTCATTTACAACATTTAGCACCGAGCATGGGAAGACAACAATGCCAAGAACAGCCACGACGACACCACTGACACCACCACGCTTCCAGGGCTGTCAGTACGAAGAGCACCCGACGTGGCAGATCGGAATGCCAGCATCTCTCTGCTTCCCTCCCCACAGCATCTCAGCCCTGTGCAGAAAGCCTGGAAATTACCCCATGGCTTTGGCCTGCGGTACATAAACCAGAGCCTGGAAAAAACAAGGCAATCATCAAATTCCCAGTGTAGGCGGCAATCTGTCTGTTGGGTTTGCACACAGACACATTACCAGGGCCTGTGAGTGCCTGGAGGCGGTGCTACACAGAGCAGCTCCGCAGCTCTTGCCTATAAAACACAAAGGCACACCAGGTTCTCTTCTGCCTGATGCTTCCCAGCGAGCAGGAGCCGAGCAGGACCCATCCCACGGTAACAAAAGCTGACAGAAGTACTTCTTCCTGATGCTGTTCCCCACGGTTTTTATTCCGCCTTGCCATTTGCATGACAACTGCCTCCTAATTGTCCAGTTTAGCAGGCAAAGAGCAATCTGATACAGATTATAATAGGCAAGGTAAAGCAGCAATGTCACCAAATAGGTGCGACCAGCCAAAGGCAGCCTCCCTGGCTCCCGCAGGGCTTTGACACTGGATTATTACACAGCTGAGCAGCACTGCCTGGAATTAACGTGAGCTCAAAAAGAGCAGGACAGTGGGAGCCTGCTTAGCCACGAGCGCCAGAAACCCTTTCATCAGGGCTCTCTGATAGCCCCGGGTGGCTGAGGCCGTCCTGAAAGCACCTTCGAGGTGACACGGTGCTGCTGTCCTTGACGTGATGGCCTGAGGGTCCGAGAAGGGAGCATCAGCCTTGAGAAGGGAGCACCCCGCAATGGTGCTGGGAGCCCCTGGGAGGTAGCATTTGGCCTCAGCATCCTGATGGAGGTAACACTTGGCCTCAGCATCCTGATGGAGGTAGCACAGCAGAACCACCATGGGGCCAGAGCCCCCGAAAGCAGCACGTGGCCCTGCGAGTGGCTGAAAACCAGGAGCACCTGGAAGGAGAGCACTTCCAGGAGGGAATGCCACGCAGTAGCCTAAGAGGGGCTGAGGTGGCACAGCCCTGTGCAAGGAAATGGGGTGCAGCTGCCATGGCTTGGGGAGTGTGTGCAAGTGCTGCTGCGGGAGGGTTACCCGTAGTGAAGCAGCCTCAAGGGAGATGTGCCACAGCCTGCTCGAGCCCTGAGAGCTCACCATTGGATTCGCCTGGATACGAGAATCCTCTGTGTTCCCTGGACCGCCAGTGCAGGCTCATGGATCAGAAGGCAGGGCAGGAAATGCAGTGAAGCAGGTGAATTAAGGCAGACTTCAGAGGCTACATCTGTTCCCCCATTCCCGTGGGGCAGAACACTGATGTAACTTTACAGAGTAAATTCAGTGCTGAGGAGAGCTGCCAGGCTGATGGCCCTGGAAACTGAAGCACTCCATGCATCCGTGACTTGGGGATTGGAGAAGAGCCACTGGAACATGCCTGAGCCTGAGCTGCCCTGCTGAAGCACAGCAGCTGCTGGAGATGGCCTGCCTGGGCTTGTCTTGTGAAGCTGAAGAGAAGGAGCTGGCTGGGAAAGCCTGGCTGCAGCTCTGAGGTGGAGGTGGAGGGCAGCGCTGTTGGTAATCCTGTCCGGGACGCCCCATCAACAGCAGGATCCCAAAGATGAAGAAGAAATCCCATCCATAGTACAGCATGCGAAGTTGCAGACGTCTCCATCTCGCAATACACTGAGGCTGGCACGCAGACAGGAGCTCAAGCACCTTTTAGCTTTGGTCTTCAGCCTTGTCCACACCTGTGTTCACAGAGAACAAGGGAAACATCCATTTCAGAGCAGTTCTTACTAGCAGCACCTTTCCTGGTATTTGGACGTACACCATCACCTCTATACTCTGCAGTCTAAAGAGCCTGGATGGTTTTGGATGGGCTTGGATGAGGACACCTCAAATAAGAGATCCATTTTGCCACCTAAGCCTGTGTCCACAAGAGGATTCAGAGCATGTCTCTGCTCATTTGGAGACCTGACCTTCGTGTTGGCCAGACTCAGGTAAAGCCCAAATGTCTAAATTACATTGTAAAGAGGGGCTGTCACCTCTTCTCAGAGCACTCGAGTGTGGTGTGGAGCGTTTAGCAAGCACTGAGGGTACCTGAAACTAAGGAGGAAGAGGCAGCTGGGGGAGGACAGGCAGAAGAGGCCATGTAGAACAAGCGAGTACCAGAGGTTGTCCCACTGACTTCCCAGGCCCAGTCCTATCTGCAAAGCGTGAAACAGTCTCTTGAAGGGAAACAACAACATAATGAACAGTCAAGTGAAGGAAGTCAGTTCTTGTTCCTCAGGGCATTGCCTCTTTTCTCATCTACCTTGCATTGGGTTATGGCATAGAGAGGAAAAAGAACTACCTCAAACAGATCCAGTGAGTTTTACCTCTCTTTATGCTGTACCTGTGGCTGTTTCCACGTGGTTTGCCTTTCTTTCCTTCCTCCTTCTTTTTCCTATATGATAAGATCCATCAGTTGAAGGACAGCAACCAACCCAGCTCCTCCTGCTCGGAGGAAAGGCCACAACTGCACTTAGAATAAGAGATTGTCAGGCAGATTTCAAGTGTCAATCAGGGCCTATCTCTGAAAAAAACATTAGTCCAGGCAGCTCCCCCCCCCCCAGTTAACATAACTCTTCCCACATCCCCTGAGCCGCAAAGAGCCTTCCAGAGCTGCCAGCAACAGGGATGAGGTCTTGGAGAAGACACCAGACCTAATTCAGCTCGGGTCATTTTGCCTTTGCTGTGATTGGCAGCTCCAGAGAAGTAAATCCTGGTCTCCCAGGCTTTGCGAGGCAAACTGGGCCATTTACTAGAAGAGGGGCAGAGGTTTAGGTCTGTTGCTGAGCGGGTCCCATCCTCAGTGGCACGCCTCCACTTTAATAATGCTATTATCATTTTAATTATTATTTATGACTGCACCTCGGGCTGCGCCAGGCACTTTCCAAGCACTCAGCAACGTCCTGGCTCTGCTCCAGGAAACTCCTTGTTTCAGGCCAGACAAAGGCACAGAGCAGGGTCAAGAAGCAGGAACGCTGAGCCAACAGCTCCAGCGCTGCCCACTGGGTGCCTGCCTCGCTGGGTGACCTTGGGAAGGCACATTCCTTCTTCCCATGCTCAGTCCCATCCCGCTGCGTCCATCTCAGTGCTCCAACCCAAAGGTCTTCAGCTGTCTTAGGATCTATTTGTGTGCAAAGCCCAAGGAAGTACTTGGGGAAATAGTTTTGTTCCTGGGAAAAAAAAAAAAAAAAAAGAAAGCAAAGGGAAATGAGAAACTCCCATTTTTCCATAGCATTTCTTCGGATGCTTTTGGTGGAAAAGGAATCAAATGTCTTCTCATTGCCAAAAACAAGTCCAGAGAGGCACGTTTTTCACTTGAAAACCAGAAAGTGCAGGTCTGGGGACATTGGGAAGACATTTGCTGGCCATTAAAATTCCCTGGGGAAAGTACTGTAGTTGTTAGAGAAACACCCATTTTGTCCTGAAAATAAGTTTGAACCTAAAAATCGAGTTGTTCTGTGAGCAGGAAACCGGTGAAACCTGTTCTCCCCTGATTTGTGTGTTACAACTGCTTCTTATTTCCTCCTCTCTTGGTGCTCCAAGCTCACTGTAACATCCCCAGGGCATCCGTATCCCTTCCAGACCTCCCCAGCAAAGTTCTTTCAACAGCTTCTTGCTTTGCAGGCAAGGGGCAGAGAGTACAGGAGCTGGTCTGAAGCTAGGCAGGTACCAACTGACCACTTGGCTGCTGCATCTCAAAATAGACAGGGAGCAAGAGGTGTAATCCCCTTTCCTTCAGGAGGATATTAACTCAAATGTCTCTCTTCTACCCAGCTGCTGGTTTTTCATGACAATTTCAAGAATCTTGGGTCTGTGAGACCTGTCTTTCCATCCAACTTGGTTGTATCAAGTCAGCTGGTTCAGAAGTTCCTGGAACAGGGGGACTGGAAACACGAGGATGCTCTTTGCCTTATGAAGCCTGGCTCAAAAATAAGGCAGTTTTGGCGTACTATAGGTCCCTAATGTCAGGTGAGGTGGTTGCCATTCCCAATGTCTCTGTCCTTCAGATACATAAGGACTGTCTATAGTGCTCCTACCATTCATTTGCTGTACAGAACCTTCAGCCTAGAAATGAGGGCCCTGCTGTACAGGAACCGGACAGTCCCTAACCCAAGTCACAACTGGATGGACAGAGAGTAGAAGAAAGGGAAGAACAGATTATCTCAGACTTACACATAGGAAGACAAAGGGCAAGATCAGCAACTTACTGAGGAATCCCCGTTGGGAGGGTCGGAAGGAGGCTCACATGTCCAAAGTCCCCATCTCGGGCCCTAAGCAAAGTCCACCTCTGCTCCCTCTCGCTTCATCACCCAGGCAGAAGTCGCCCTTTGAGGGGCATTTCTCTCTGATTCACTGCCCTCGGGAGCTGAGTCAGTCTTGCCCACACTTCTCCTTTGGCAGCCGAGAGCGCATGAGGAAACGTTATTTGTTGTTCTGTTTGGGTTCGTTATTCATGGGCATTATTCACTGCTGAAAACACTGGGAGCTGCTTCCGAACAGTCCTGGAGTTGGCGTGCGGGGAGGGACTTACCGGTGCTGGGGCTGCCTTTCCGTGGCCAAGCTCTCTTCCGTCTGCTTCCCTTCAGCCCTTGTCACGCTCCCCAGCTCTCATGGCTTTGGCTGTGCTCTTTGGCATTATCTGGGTAAGAAAGAGGCAAATGCTTGGAGCACCATAGACATGCAATCAGAAACGGCATTTCGCTACAGAGGCACTGAGCCTGGCATGGGGAGAGGATAAACCTGATCCTCTCAGTGTTTTTCCAGTCACACTATAGAGCTCCCTGCAGGGTTCCAGACCTGTTTATCCTCCTGCAAAAGACGCCTTCACCCTCCTTCAGATAACCTGCAACTGTCTGGAGACCTTCCTCCCATAAGCAAGGCTCTCCCTCTGCGGCTCATGTTCTTGGAAATCCGTTTTGCATCTTAGAATAGGGGCAGCCTCTAGCTTTAGCAGCACTTTGAGGATGTTTGCAGTGAGACAGAGCTTGAATTACTCCAGGTACACTCACCCCCATGCATTAGCACTTAAACCATGGGTTTCTGGGGTTATGGTTCCAAAACATTCTGTAACAGGACTACAGACCTTGCATAGAAGACTAAAGCTGACCAGCAGCAGGATTACTTACTTACCTAAAGACCCTTAGAAACCACCTAGGGCTACCCCCTGCAGTCTGCAGAACACAGGCTGAAGCTCTTGAACGTTTCTCGGGGTACCTCTTCAGGGCTAGCATTTGCTTAGAGAGCTCACATCATGCCTTGGACTGCAACCAAGCTACTGGTGGCCTGTAGGCAGCAGCTCTCCCGGCAGCCTCCCCACCCAGCCAAGCCAGAAAGTGCAGGGCTGGGTCTTCTGACTCCTGGGAATTGATTGCTCTTTGCAATTATGCAGACAAGAAACTGAGCCTGTGCCGCAAACGTGTCATCAGGGCTTAGGTTCACAGTCTATGAGGTGGGGGTTTCGTCAGGCCCTAGTGAAGGATGCTACGGGTCTACTTAGGCTGATGCCAGTCACTGGTTGGGTTTTCTGCAAGACCCAGAACAGGATTCGTACCCCAGCACTGCCCTCCTCACTTGGAAGGTCAGGGGGCTGTAACAGTCAAGGATTTGCTGTGAACCCAGCCTAGGGCACATCTGCCCATCAATCACCAGGGCCCAGGAGAGGGTATCTCTCCCAAGCAGGCAAACTCCCCACTGGTAGAAATCAGCACGACAGGAAGCTGTGCCACATCACTCCAGGAAAGAATCTAGTTTAGGATGTACTTTTCCATTCATTAATTCTTTGCCTAGAGCCAAGACAACACACACACACACCATCATCCCCCCCCCATGGGACATATTAGCTCAGTTTTATCTACTGCAATCCCATGCAACTGCACAGGGGAGGAATTCTGATCCTACAGACCATGTTCTCTGCCGATGTGATGCTCTGCTGTTGTTAAATGAGCTTCTTGGGCTGAGCAGTAAGTAACTGAGCTAAACACAGGCGTCATTTCCTGGCCTGCACGCTGCAGGAGCTCTGCAGAGTAACTGCACTGGTGCTTCCAGAACTCCACAATCACTTAACTGATTTCAAGCAGTTTACAGCAGCAGAGAGCTTGGCCTGTGAGTAATATGCATGAAAACTACCTTCAGCCACAGAGATGCAGGCAGTCCCCTACCTGGCTGTTGCCTAAGTAACGCATCTCAAAGAGGATGCTTTTAAAGTCAATGTTATTTATCCAGTAGACGGAAGGAGCCTGCTAAAGCCACACCAGGTTGACATATGTCTAAGCATGTAGGGAGGGACTTAATTAGTTCTACCTGGGAAAAGAGACTCCCAGTGCTCTTTAAAGGATCATTATCCCACTGTGAGGTGTCCTGGAGCCTGCTGCTAGGCCTACGCTTAACAGGGCAAGTCTGTAGTAGTTGGATGGGAGCAAAGAAATCTCCCTTCCATGCTGAGAAATAATTGCTGAGCAACCCCAGGAGCTGCAAGGTCAGTGCAAGGAGCAGGCAGCACAGAACCACACTGAAACCCAGTGCAAGGGGCTTAATCCCTGCCTGGGCTGTAACGTTGGCTTTCAGGGTCAAACTGTGCAGATCCCATTACTGGTCTGGTCTCTAGAGATCCCACATCATCTGCTGTGCTTGGTGACTGCTTCTCAGGCAAGCCCAGTGAGAGTGAGAAGGGGTGACAGCAGAGTGGAGTAATATAAGCCTGGAGTGAGCCACTGCCAAGTGTCTGTGTCAAGCATTAACCCTCGTGTCATCACAGGAGTCAAATGCAGGCAGCAGTTTCTCAGCAGGAGCTAAACCGGACCTTACACAAGAGGCTCAGTCACAGCTTTCATTTATGAGGCCAAAATCAGAGACTGGAAACTGAATGCCAATAAGGGAATTAGCTGGGCTCCCAAAGATGGATGGGTTTGCTGCTCTGTCGGCAGGTAGCCCCTTGAATGGAAGGAGAGCTAGGCTGTGTAGCCCCTGAAGGATAAAACGGGGTCCTGAGCGTATTAAAGCTTGTACAAGCACTGGCACCCAGTGCTACACTGAGGCTGGGTGGCCAAGGAGGGTGCATCCTGGAGAGGCTTATCTTGGCCTCAGAGTGGCCCAGATAGCACAGGGGGCCTTGGTCTGCTCTTGGAGCTGTCAGGAGCTGTTCCTAGATGAGTTGTTATGGTAACTGAGGTAGTGCCCTGAGAGAGATGTTTTCAGGTGGCTCCAGGGCAGAAAATCAACACCAATAGATTCTAGATAATAGACTTCTGCTAAACCCACTGCTGCCATCTACTTTATTTAACCTATTCACCAATGACTTGCTGAACTCCATTCTCTGGGAAAGCCATATGTGACAACAGTAGCTGCTTGGCTCCAATGAACCCCGGCTTCCAAAAGACTGAGGGCATCCCATGTGCTGTAGCATGTGAGTGGCCAGTGTCTTGGCCCACAAGGAGCATGGTAGCTCCTGAAATGCATCTGGGCTGGGCCAGAAGTGCAGTGCAGTACTCCAGCACCGTAACAGACAGCGGCCCAGGCACCGGTTTATTGCTACAGACCTTGTCTGACTGCTCGAGGTGAGTGCACAAGAAAGGAGCCTGAAACAAGTGCAAAGGCTCTGCTGATGTGCTTGTGCTTATACCACATCCAAATCCAGCTGGAGCTGTACGTCCTTAGGAGCAGCCAGTGACAGGCACACAGCATGTCTAGGAATTGCTCTTGGGTCTCCCATTTACATCCTCTGCTCACGGGTTAAGCGATGGATTCACCAGCATCCCCCTCCCTAACACTGAGCGTCAAAACGCAGCCAAGGGATTATCGACAAGGAGGAGCTGATGCCACCCACCCGCTCTCCAGTGCTGCTGCTGGGTGCCTGCGGGGAGGCCCCTTTGGTTGGTGCTCCCCAGCTCGCAGCCAGGACTGGGGAAGAGCCAGGCGAGTTTCAGGAGCTCCCACATCACCACCAGACCAGCCCAGCAGCTCCCTGGCTCTGGGGCCCTGCACCACCTCCAGAGCGAGCCAAACAGGTTCTGCCGTGGCGTGGTCCAGAGTGGCAGCATTTGGGAGAGCCTGCTGCGTGTCCTCCTGGATGCTCCTGCATCTCTGCAGGGTGGCCGCTCTTAGAATCATAGAATCAATAGTTAGGGTTGGAAAGGACCTTAAGATCATCCAGTTCCACCCCCCCTGCCATGGGCAGGGACACCTCACACTAAACCATCTCACCCAAGGCTTCGTCCAACCTGGTCTTGAACACTGCCAGGGATGGAGCATTCACAGCCTCCCTGGGCAACCCTTTCCAGTTCTCATGGTGAGCCTCACCAGTGGTCCCCTTCCTTGCACTGGGCACCAATGGTGTGAACATCAGAGCTGGTCCAAGCCCACCACGCTGAGGGGTTGCTCTCTCTGCTTGTTCCTCCACATTTCAAGTCTTGCTTTGCTTGTTTTACCCACTTACAACCATGTCATTGTAATATGTAGCTCTCTAGGGCTAGAAGCTGTTCTGCAGCATGTTCTTTGCTCAGCTTCTCCTGCAACAGGTTTGCAATCTCGAATCAGTGCAGCAGCAATGCGATTAACCAGGCTCTGCACAAGGGGGATTTGCATCCTCAGTGGATGCAATATTCCCAGGTCTGGCCTGCCTGCGTGTTCTCCCAGGGTGAGAGGTCACGTTGACTGAACACCAAAGTGGCTTGCTTGAACTTTTAAATGCTACGGTCCTAATAAACAGTCAGCCTTAGCTGGGATGTGGGTCCCGTTCCTGCCAAGCTGCAGCCTTAAGTGAATTTTTATTACTAAGTTATAAACCCCCGAAAACACAAATGAGGAGTGGAAATGCTGACTTGGCCTTTGCTAAATGCCAATTATCTATAAAGGCATTGGAGGAACGGAGGGATGGAAAATCAGGTCATTTTTATGTTTTCTCTGCTTCAAAGTAAACTGTCCCACGAGCCCCTTGTAGGAACACACAGCATGAGGAGTGACCATTAATATTTATAGGCACGACACTGAGCTGCAGACCTTGGCCATCAGAGCAACTCCACTTCTGGAATTAATACAGCTCTACTTGGCTGGCCTCTTGGTACAAAAGAGTAAGTAGGAGCCACCAAGGTATTCAGGGAGAACTTAAGAAGCAGATGCTGACCTTTGATGGAGAGAGTCCATACTTCACTGAGTTGGTCAAGTTCTAAAACCAACTTAAATCCTCAGGGCTGCTGGGCAAACCCAGCACTGTGTTTTCTATCCCTCTGTGCTCCTATGGCTCCTAAGCAGTCCCGACTGGCTACTTCCTTTGTATTCCCCAAGTTTGCACACTGTTGCCCAGCTGATACAGAGCAGTGTGCTCCACAGATACACTTGGAGCAATGTGGATTTATAATACCTAAGGATCTGGCTGAATAATGCTAAGGCTCAAAATGGGGCTGCAATCTCAGCTGCAATCTCAGTTGCAATGCAGCACACACCACCTTCCACCTCTGTGTTTCCTAACTCCCAGTTTAAGTGGTAGGGTGAGCCCTCCAAAACCAGCCCCCTGCATGCTGAGGATGTGATGGGGTGCTGTCACAGGGGCTGTGCTCAGCCCAGGACTAGGTACCAAGCAGGATGATGACTGCCAAGCCGCATACAAGCGTGTCTCAGACATATCATGGGGACCATGATACAATGACAGCAAGTGGGAAGGTGCGTCTGTCAGAAGAGCATCAATCTGTGCCTTTCATCAACTGAGTCCCTCCAAATCCTTTCGTACTCTCAAAAATCAGGCTGCAGGATTTAGGAAAATAAACAGTGGAAACAACAACAAATAGAAATGCTCCTGCTATTAAAAACAAGGTGAAAAGGAGGAGCTGAGCCAAGTTAATCAGAGGGCTGAAATGAGTTGTTGGAGAAAGGGGTCACGGGTGACTTGGGGTTTGCAGTGAGCTGAGCGGTGTGAAATCTCTTGTGTCTGGCTGAGCTCTGAAAGGAAATGCTTTATTAAATCTTCTTTGTGTGAGGTTTCAAGCTGCCTCTGGACTGGAAAATAGGACCATTCCAGTACATGGCATATAATCAGGAACTCAAGTCTGTGGCGGGTTTTTCTGCAGAGGAAACTCTGATCAGCAGAGACACATAACTCAGAGGGCTCAGGATTCAGAAAGCTGAATTAGACACAACACACCCATGCTCTGCTGTGCACCTCTTCTACCCAGGATCCCCAAAATGCTTCACAGGATTAATCATGCTGGCAGCAACAGCCAGGAAATAGGGAAGACAGCACAGGTAGGCACCCACCCCACTGAATCTTAACTGGTCCTGTGGGCCAGCGCATCTCAGCTCCATCAGTTCAGCTTTCATCCCCCCTGGAGCACAAGGCTTGCCCTGATTTACTGATCTCCTTTGCACTGGATCTCCTGGAAGTTTCCAGCCTCACCCTGGCCACTTTTGGGATGCTGCAGCCTCTTGCTGCCCCTGTCCAGCACTCTCTGTAAGCCGGCACTCATGGCTCTTCCCCTGCAAAGCAGGACTGGGCCACCCCACAGTACTCACAGGAAGCATCTGCTAGGAAGAAATGGATGGAGCCAGGCTCAACACCACAGAACGAGGCCAAGGGAGAGGCTTCCAGAGCACTCCACCGTGTCACACAACCTCCTTTGCCCTTTTGCACCTCTTGGCTTTCCCTCTGTGCTTGGCCACGTAGTAGAAAGTGAGTCCTGATCGGAGACAGGACAGGCGGCACCACCAGACTTCCTCCTCCTCTTACCCCTTTATTTCACACCACAGCATGTCCGGATATAAAGAGCTGTGAATCTCAATCCACCTGCTGGCAATGGCAGGGTTTGAGTTCCTGATCTGCTTTCTGCAAACCCCAACAGGAAAGAGTCCCGAGCGGCTCAGACACACAGAGCATTCCCCTTCCTTTGCACCGCCCCTGCTGCAGAGGAGCTCCTTGCCTACCTTTTATTGCTGACAAGAAGCAGGACGGAGCCATTCTGGATATTGGCTTCTTTGAGAGTCTCGTGCTCCTCGAGCTGCCTGGAGTTGTAATAAAACGTCTTCTTCCAGGAAGTGACGCCCTCCCGCACCAAGTGAGCCCGCAGGTCCATCACCGTGTCCCTGGGCTTGACCGTCAGGGGCATCATCAGGTCCTCATCTGCCAGGTGCACCTTAATGTGGTACCTCTTCCAGCGGGAAAGGCTCCTCCGCAGCGTGTCCATCCTCTCCGGCTCGCCAGGGCCAGTGTGGCAGAGAGGAGCATCGGGCTGGGAGGTGGGTAAAGCAGGGATGTGGCTCTGAAGAGGCTGTCTGCTGTGAACAGCTTCAAGTCTCCTGCCAAACCTGTTCCTCCCAGTTGCCGCGCCGCATGCTTCGCATTCCAGGGAAGAGCTCACCTGGCTCCAAGAGCCTGCTGGCTGGGAAACGTCCCCATGACTCATTTCCACACACCCCAAAATCCCATCGTAATTATAATGTCTTCACAGAGTGCTCTTCGTTCCAGTGGCTCTCAGAGGACTTTAAAGCTGGATCTCCACAGCCATCCGAAACGTGGGTGCATGTGAGAAATGAATGGGTTTAGTAACCTCCTGTTTCCTTCTCTAAAGAGCTGCCAGCTGTGGAGTAGATCAGCTCCACAAAGGAGGCGTGGAGGAACCTCACAGCTATTTAACATGGCCATTTTAATGAAGGAAAGTAGTCTGCATAGTGAAAAATTCCTCAGGGATGAGAGCCAGGGCACCCCGAAGGAGACACAGAGCCTGGTTGGTGTGAACACCCCTCATTAGTGCAGCAGTTTCCCCTTGGAAGATGTGTGTAGTTACTGAAGGTAAACAGGCTGGGACCCTCCAAAAGTGGTAGTAGGACTCATTCATTGCTCATAATGCCATTAGATATCTCATATTGACTCACACGTGCTCCTCACCAGTTCATCATCTTGATTTCCTCTTCTTTTCAGATCTCTGCCTAATTGAAGGGCTGATCACATCCTGTTCTGCCATGTGAGCAGGATCAGCATCACAGGGCTGCAGGCTACTGGAGGCAACCAGGAAGCAACAGAAGCCCCAGAACACTGAGAGGGACAAGGGATGCTTTGGTAAATCCAGTACCTCCAAATGAAAGGAAGCGAGCGATGCTGGCCACAGGAGCCGGTTGTGATGGACTGGTCCTGCAAGGCAGACTCAGGCAGTCACCAGACGATGCTTCAGAGCAAACATCCTCAAGATAAGGAAGTCTCTTGTCTCATTTTTCTGCCTTTTTCTCAAAAAGATCAAGTCACCCTCTTATCTTGTAGGTTATTTCCTACAGCCCGTATTACAGGAGTTAATTCCCTCGTCCATTCTTCTCAACGCAGACTGGTATTTTTAGACCAAAGTACTGCAAGAGAGTTGACTTCAGAGCCTGCTCTTCGCTAAAAAGGGGCTGCTCTTGCCCATTAGATAACAAAAGAGTCAGATTTTCAGATACGGCAGCAGGCAGCACCTATTGAGAACAAGAGAGGGGTCCACTCCCCCATTGAAAACAAGGTTTCCACCGCATCTTCACACCTCTCTTCTTTTTCCCTACCCAGCACACTATGTCTTTGCCAAGAACAGTATCTTCAGCTACCCCGCAGGCAATGGAGATACCCCCGTGCACGGAGAAGGACTGAAGCTTCTGCTAGCAACATTTTGTTTCCAGATGGAGCTGCTGTTAAGGTAGGGACGTTCGGCTGGGGTCTGGGATGCTGGGGTCCTCCCTCTGCCACTGAGTTGCTGCGAAGGTTTGACATGAGTCAGGGCATGCCTTCGTGCTTCTGTTTGCTCATCTCATGGCTGCTGCACGGTGTAACACGTGTCCATTAAGTGCCTTGTGGGAAACAGGAAGAGCTTTTAGCCCAGTCACGGTCTGGGAGCATTTAAAAATGCCTGGATCTATGGCTATGTTGATAATGGTGAAGACAGAACACACACACACACACCATTAGACAAGGGGAAACTGAGGCACAGAGCGGTGCAAAGCTGTTATTGCAAAGAAGTGTCAAAAGTTAGGCTCTGATGCCCCTATGTAGGGATCTCAGTGATGGCTCTGACTTTCAGAGACCTGGGGCCTGGTGCATCCTTCTCCGTTGGGGTGACATTCACTTGGGGAACCACGAATCACCCCTGGTGTAAAGCCAGAGTCCTAGGGGGGTAAAGAGACTGATCCAACGCCCACTGCCATCCAAGGGCAGACTCTCATTGACGGCAGCCAGAACTGGATCAGGCCCCAGACACACCGAGGTCTGATCTGTTGGCTCTGGCCACCAGACGTTGCCCGCTGAGTGCCAAGGGAAACATAAGGCATTCTCATTGCAGCAGAGTCTGTCTGGTGTCAACGAGTCCACCAGCTCCATCCTTCCAGCACACGCAGCAGCCTGACAGCTGCCACATACCTCCCTCAGACACCTTGCCGACAGCTCCTGGTTATTTTTAGGCCAGCTCTTTCCAGGCAAGGCTCAGATGTGCATCGGGACATGGGAAAGGGGGATGGCGGCCGAAAGAAAACACACGGCTTGGCTTTGCATTGCTTTGCCCTGCTGTGGTTGCACGCTTTTCTCACGCAGCCCCATCCACCCAACCTGGGAGCCTTCATTTTATGAACAGATTATACTCTAGGCTGTGAAAGCCAGGATAAGGAGAAGCACGGCAGTGAAGTCAGCTTATGAAATATTGAAGCAGCGAAGCCCTCGCTGGAACACGTGAATGTCTAATGCCAGCTCCAATTAATTGTGAATTTTTCATTAAACCATTATTAAAAGCAAGAGGACAGCAGAAATAAGGGAAATTGACTTGGGCAGTATATTAAGTACCTTAGTTTCGCTGGAGGATGTTTTATTATCTGTCCAAAGCAATTATTTCACCAGCTTCTGATGGTTTGTGGGCTAAACAGAGGTACAGGATAAAGTTCTAGATGGTTTTTCCTCCAGATGATTTCGATTTCTATCCTTAGCCTGCGCCTTGCAGCCTGCTTGGGTGATGTCTCTGGCACGTCACATCTGGAGGACAAGACATGGAGTCAGAGGCCTGAGGATCTGCAATAATGTGTTGCTCTGGCATTCTTTACACATCAAATACAAACTTCTTGGTGTAAGCTTTTGTATTGAGGGCAAACAGAAGCGATGCAAATGTTCGGAGAAACATTCATTAGGAAAGCCTGAAAAGCAATTTAAAGCTCAGGTGGGCTCTGACTGCTTTTAGGAGGAGGGGGAGAAATAAAGCAACAGCATTTATAAAACCTTACCTCTGCTTCTGGTCTCAAAGCTTCCTTACTCCATTGACTAGAGCAAAAGAGAAACACCTGCCTAAATTAGGTGCCTCATTAAGATGTCTCAAGCTGGTTGAGATGATGCTGGGCCTTGTAATATCTTCTTATGATGCAGAATAGAGACACTCATTTCTCAGGCAGTTTCTTGGGCAGTGGCTGTGTTTTGCTGCTTGCTGTGCTGCTGGCCCTGCAGAGGACAGCAGGGGAGAAGTGGGATGTCGCTCCCTAAGGAAATAAAGGGTTCTGTATTTCCTGGTAGCAATCACTGCAACACCCAGGGAAGATTTCACCCCAATTCCCTGGCAGGGCCTGGAAGTCTTTGAGGAAACCACTCTTTTCCTTGTCTTTCCAGCAAGGAAGATACTTTGCTGTTTCCTGAAGCTCTCTGCTCCCAGGACTTGTGGTCAGTAATACTGAACACTGAGGGCTCTCCTCTGATGCTCCTTTGGGATGGGTTTGTGTTTGAGAGCAGGTAGACGGGAAGGGATGAAGTGTGAGAGATGTTTGCCCTGGACCACACTTACACCTGCAACCAAAGAGAGGCTTTTTGTTAGACTCCCCACACCATTCTGCTGGTGGGCATGTTCTCTGCCCCGTGATTGTCCCCCTGCTCCATTAGCTGATGGGAGCAGCAGAGGGAAGGCTGCAGTGTTGTGAGCTTGGAGCCCCACACTGCGTGCTGGGGAGCACAGGGAAATGTCCACGGCCATGTAGGATGAATCATGAGGCTTGACAGTGCTAAGGTCAGACATCTCCAGTCCAATGTGCAGCCTGCCACCTCATCCATTCAGTGCCCCAGATGGCTCAGGTGATGGGGCAGCTTAAAGTGCCTGTAGTATCCAATGGCCCCAGCTAAGGCTGTACCACCGTGTGCCAAGATGAGTAAGGCTTTTCCTATCACCCAGTGCTTTCCGCCTCCTGAGATGTGCTTGGTTATAAAATGACTGGGCTCACTTTATATGTCAGCTTCCATCTCCAGCAAATGAACAAAGAGCTAATAAATTATTAATAAATGCTTTGAGAAACGGGTAATTAAATGCAAAAGCTTTTTAGAGTCCAATGGGTAAGCACAAAATATGTAAGCTCAAGCGATAACACTTTCTTCTGATATAACTTATCTACAGCATACTGCTCATATCTGCGAGAGTGCTTAGGAATGCTATTAACTTCCTGTGCACCAGGAATAAAGGGAGCCTTTCTATGGTGGAGGAGCACTTCTCCTGGGGATTAGGGCAAAATCCTCATTGTTTAGACTATTTCAAATCCAGGACAGCTGAAAGGGGCTTGTGTTAACATACATGGGAGGTGTGAGTGATGAGGGAAGGTGACAGTCTCTGCACTGACCCTCTCCTGTCACCTGCCTGTCAAACTATAGGGTCCTCTCTCTTCCACTGCATACCTATGCAATTCCCATCCTTGCCTTGCACAGAGGAAGATGTCCCTGTCATCCTGCCCTCTTCTAGACCGCAGCCTGCTGCAGTATCCAAATCAGACTCCAAAAGATCCAACAACCTGGAGAGCTGCCCAGCATCAATATTGCATTACTGAGAATTGGTCGAGTGTTCGGAATGGGATTTTAATTTAAACAGGCTCCAGAAAACAGCTCTGTATATCCAGCGTGGAAGGAGCACACTTGCCTGGTTTTGGAACAACAAATGGACCTGCAAGTTTTCTGAGCCAAAGTTGGATGTGAGTTGGTGACATTTGCTGCTGGAAAAGGAAATGTAGAGGGGGAAAAAAAACCCAGTAACGCACATGTTAAATGAACCAGTCAAGTGCAGACAATGGAAAAGCTGAAAAATGGCTATGGAGGAAGGCATTCTGCGGTGGTAGTTATTTCTCACTGCAGTTCTTTATAGCTTCCCAGATGGGAGATTCATGACCCTAGGAAGAAGCCTGTGTCCGCCAGGGCCTGGCCTGCAGCAGCCCATGACTCACTCGCCTGCCAGGTTTGGCAGCAAGCTGGGAAAGAAGCAAGGCAGCAAAATGGTTGTGGGAAGGGCAGAACAAGAGAGAAATGAATTAAATGGTGGAAGAAGAAACCTCTGTGCACAAAGGAGGGCCTGAGACGGAAAGAAGGAGCGAATGCTCGTGCCGCTGAGGAGTCCAAGGAGCTGGCATCCCAGGCAGGCAGCTCCAGTCGTCTGCAGGTGAAACAAATCCAGGATGCTTCAGTGTAAGGGAAGCAGACAGAGAAGATCTGAGGCTCCACCAGCAACGAGAAGGTTTGCCAGGGGCTCAAGGAAGCAAGAGGATTTGTGGATCTACATTGCCATCTAATGGCAAGGAAGAGCTTAAAGCTGCCCCGGTAGCCCGGAAACGGGCTGTAACAGCAAAGGGACCGTGAAAGGGCTGGTCCATGCAGGTGATTGTCTTCAGGTGGAAAAGCAAATCCTTCTCTGCAAGTGAATGGTCTGACTGGTGAAGCCGATACATGCAACCCAGAGAAGGGAAGGGTAGCCAAGGTCTGATGCTGATTCTTCCTCTTTTGGCATCCTCTCCGTACCATTCTGTATTAGCCAGGAGTTTTAACATGCATATAGGATGGGATTTGCTTTCTTCTAGTGTCCAGTTCAGCACCTCAGGTCCTCAAGACCCCGCTGGAAGTTGCAGATAACCAGAATTGTTAAGAAAAGAGGCAAATTCCCCTTGGATCGAAGCACAGGAAGAGTAGATGCACCATTTTGCTCACACCGAGCCCAGTGCCTTGTCTTTGTCCACGGTAGTGGATACTGAATGAGAAAGTAGCAGAAAGGGGGTGTTACAAACCATTGCTGCCCTGCTGTGCCCTTCACCCTGGGAGACAGCAGAAAAGCAGTTCAGTGAGACGTGAGGGTTTATGGATTTTGGCATTTAAAAGGAAGCATGAGGAAGAGACAAGCTTGATGTTCACCCCGGTGCCACCTTTGCTACATGATACACCGGATGACAACGTAGTTTCTAGAAGAGCAAATGTACACAAGGGAGTAGACTTAGGAGATACTGACATTAAGAAACCAAAGAAAATTTGGTAAGGGCTTGTCAACAGCTTCTTTCTTCTGCTTTCTGATGTTTCTAGCCTTGACACATGCAGCTTTGTGTATGAGGAGGAGCTGGAGCTCAGGAAGAGAGGAGGGCCACAGGAGCTTAGAATGGAGCAGGAGCCGGGGGACAAAATGGGGATATAAAGAGTCTGCTTTTCCCAGGTGCTGACATGGGACATGGTGTGGGTCCCACCTAACTTCCGGGCAATAAGAAAGGAATAGGGATTGAGAGCATAGAAAACTGAGACCTGCCAGCCTTGGGGCCACAGGTCCCCCAGCGTGTTACAATACCTGCTGCGACGTGCTTCCATGCAGCGTGCTGCCAGAGGAATGAGCCCACTCCGGAGCAATCCAGCTTCATTTCCTCCTGGTATTCTCTCCTATTTATGCACCCAACCTGGCCAAGTCCTGCTAGGCCCAAACAATCCCTCTGGAAGAGAAGGAAAAGCAAAGGGACTCCTAGAGCATGTAAAGCACCTTCCTGCTGCCCGAAAGGAAAAGAAAGAAGTCAGTGCTTTGGAAGGGTCTTCTTTCCCCCCTGGTTCTCACTGTTTTCCAAGCTAAGAAGAGCCAGAGGCTGTGGGAATGACAGGATTATCATCACTGGGGCAATACAGTTCAGGTATTTCTCTCCAGTTCGTGAAGCAAGGAGGCAAGAAGGGAACGTACCTGCTTGAAGCGCTACACAGGGTGACACGTTCCTTGATGTTCCCTTCTAAATGCGGCTCTGAGTCATTCTACAGAGCTGATGAGAAAAAATTACCTTCCTGCAGCAGAAATACAAAGGCAAAAGGGATTTGTTCAGTGTTCACTGCCCCAGCCCTGGCTCCGAGCCTGCAGCAGGAGAGAAGGGCTGGCGAGCTGGGTGAAAGCCACTTCTCCTGCAAGAAGCAGCCGTAGAAACAGCTCGAAACACTCACCTAAGGCTACGTGCAGCTGCAGTCCCAGGGAGAGGCGTGCACGGTCTTGTGTCTGCCTCCATCGGGCGAGTTCCTACACGTGCCAGGTCAAACGGGGCTAATGCAGTCATCCCCCCCTTTGTTTCCTCCAATACTTGATGCATCTCTAAGGCTGCACCCCAAAACCTGCTCCTTCTGAAACAGAGCTATAGATAGCGCATATGTACCCCTCGTGGTGTGCATTGCCCCGAGGAAAGCCAATGGAGGTCGTCACGGCTGCGTGGCACTGGCTGGTAGATGGGGCTCTGAGACCCCGGGTGCTTCCTCAAGCACCCCAGCACCAGTCTGTGGTCACCAGCACCAACCCAAGCTCTGACCTGGGCTCTCAGCATCAGCTCAAATCACTGCAGCAACCCGCTGCCCTCGGCCAGGGCTGAGCCAGCAAGCTCATGGGCAAGGAGGGCAAGGGGAAGTGCAAGCCATGATGGGGATTAATGTAGTTTATTCGGGTTTAATGCCATTTCTCCAGGTGCAGCAGCACTGTTAATTGAGCACCGCACTCCTACTCCTTAAACCTGTTCCCGGGCTCAGGACCTGCCTGTTCTTATCCTTTACTGCTCACATCATTGGAATTGGACAAAAAGTGCCCATCAGGCCACCTTGTTGCAGCAGTGCCTGCGGGGGGGAGGCAAATACCGTGATTTCTGAGGGACAGAATCACAGAATCATAGAATGGTTTGGGTTGGAAAGGACCTTAAGATCATCCAGTTCCAACCCCCCTGCCATGGGCAGGGACACCTCACACTAAACCATCTCACCCAAGGCTCTGTCCAACCTGGCCTTGAACACCGCCAGGGATGGAGCATTCACAACCTCCCTGGGCAACCCATTCCAGTGCCTCAGCACCCTCACAGGAAAGAATTTCCTCCTTAGATCCAATCTAAACTTCCCCTGTTTCAGTTTGAACCCGTTACCCCTTGTCCTGTCACTCCAGTCCCTAATGAAGAGTCCCTCCCCAGCATCCCTATAGGCCCCCTTCAGATACTGGAAGCTGCTATGAGGTCTCCACGCAGCTTCTCTTCTCCAGGCTGAACAGCCCCAACTTCCTCAGCCTGTCTCCATACAGGAGGTGCTCCAGCCCCTGATCATCCTCGTGGCCTCCTCTGGACTTGTTCCAACAGTTCCATGTCCTTTTTATGTTGAGGACACCAGAACTGCACACAATGCTCCAGGTGAGGTCTCACAGGAGCAGAGCAGAGGGGCAGGATCACCTCCTTGGACCTGCTGGTCACGCTCCTTTTGATGCAGCCCAGGACACGGTTGGTTTCTGGGCTGCGAGCGCACACTGCAGCTGGCCCATGTTCAGCTTCTCATCGAGCAGCACCCCCAAGTCCTTCTCCTTGGGCTGCTCTGAATCTCTTCTCTGCCCGACCTGTAGCTGTGCCTGGGATTGCTCCCACCCAGGTGTAGGACCTTGCACTTGGCATGGTTAAACCCCATGAGGTTGGCATCCGCCCACCTCACAAGCGTGTCGAGGTCCCTCCGGATGGCATTGCTTCCCTCCAGGGTATCAACCGAACCACACAGCCCGGTGTCATCGGCACACTTGCTGAGGGCACGCTCAACCCCACTGTCCATGGCAGCGATGGAGACATTGAACAAGAGCGGTGCCAACCCCAGCCCTGAGGGACCCCACTCGGGCCCGGTCTCCCGCCGGACGCCGCGCCATTGACCACAGCTCTTTGTGCGCACATCCAGTGATGCTCGGCGTGTCGAGGACCCCCTTCCCAGAGAACGCTCAACCCGCGGCTGTTAAAAACAACGCGCACTGCTCTATAAAGGGGGCAGGGAGGACGCGACCTGGCCGCTGAACCGGGGGTATTTAATTGCCGTTAATTACCGACGGAGGTACCGGAGGGGGCGGAAGACCGGCGGCGGCACGGCCGCGCACAGCCTTCTGGGAGTTGTAGTCCTCGGTCGCGCCGCCATCTTGGTGCTGCCACTGCACAGCCCCGGGGGGCGCTCCCCGGCAGCCATCTTGGGGGGGGGGAAGCGCTGTGTGAGGGAGCGGCTGGCGCGGGGGTTCGGGTTTGGTGTGAGCGTGGTTTCCATGCTGGCTCCAAAGCGCTTTAAATCCCTCACAAACAGCAGCCTGAGCAGCCTCGGGGGTGCTTTGTGCAGGTTGTTCCAGGCCAGGTTGGACGGGGCCGGCTCCGGTGGAAGGTGTCTGGAGGAGCTTTAAGGGCCCTGCCAACCCAAAGCCGTCCATGACTCTGTACGGGAGGTCTTGGGTCTTGTGCCTCTGGTACCTCCTCATGACGTGCGCAGGGAACTGGGGCTGCGGGGAGCAGAGCAGGAGCAGGGAGGAAGGGATGACGGGGTGGTTAATGGGGCCTGAATTCGGGAAGGAAGGGGGGGATACGAGGGCAGGAAAGGCAACAAGAGCTTTCCTCGTGTGCTGGGAAGGGAAGGTGCCCCTGCTGCAGCCAGGACAAAGGCGGTACCGGGCTGGGAAGCTGAGCAGGAGGACATGAAGGGATGGGAGAGGGCAGCAGGGGGCACGGGGACGTGGTCAATAGGACTGCAAAGCAACCAGGGCTTGTCCCGGGGCCGTTGATGCCCTTGGTGGTGCCCTCTGTGGAGCTGCTCCTGATGCTCTTCCCAGAGCCTGCAAGCCTGACAGAGAGAAGGTGACTCCTTCGTGCAGCAGAAGGAATAATGGATGGTGCTCGTCCGGCTGCGACTCCAGGAGTGTCATTGGCTTTCCTAAGGATTTAGTGAGTGAAACTGCAAAGACAGGCACTCCAACTCGCTGAATGCCTGTGAGCCTCAGCTCGGTGTCTGAATCCGATTCTGTTCTGTGTTTATACCATTACAGATATAGCTAGTTCCTTAACAGCACTGCTGATTTTCACAGGAAAAGAAGAAAGCACACGCACAAATCCTGCTGTCTCATCACACAGCCTGCATGTTTCGAACATAAATGCATGTATTCATGTTGGAGTAATCCTAAAAGATCCTTTCCTTCATGAGTCCTATGCCATTATTATCAGGAGCCAGGCCATCCCCATAGATCTCTTGGGCTGCTTCATTGCTCTGCAAACACAGAGGGGTGCTAATAAGCTTTCTTTCAAGCATGTGTTCAGATGTCAACACTTTTGCTTCTGTCAGAAGCTTAAAAATGGAAACAGTTTTCTCTTTAAGAAAACAGGACCCAAATAAGGAGATGATGGAGTGGTGAAGATTCCTCTAGCGAGTCTGTTCCAGCTCATTCCTTAGAAAGGCTGTGTGTGAAAGCTCAGAGAAGAGGCCAGTAGATCTGGGCTTTGTCCAGGGGTCTCTGGGTTTAAAGCTGTCTACCAGCACTTGAGCTCATTTTCCCTGTGACTGGCCTGGGTGCAGCTTCTTGCTCTGCCCAAGCTGTTAAACCCCTCAGGCTTTCCTTTTGGGAATTATTCTAGTGGCGTGACAGAGACAACCCTACCCTGCTGCCAGAATGGAAGCTATCAAGAAAAAGATGCAGATGTTGAAGTTAGACAAGGAGAATGCCATTGACAGAGCAGAACAGGCTGAAACAGATAAGAAGGCAGCTGAGGACAAATGCAAACAGGTAAGAAGGAATAACCCCACGGGCTGTGCGTGCACTGTGGAAGTAAGTTTAACAAGACGGTGTTGCAACTTTCTGATTCAGAAAAGAACATCATCTGAAGGCAGGTTTTCTGTTAAGCCTCTTTTGGAGTCTTTTTGCCTCTTTTTGATGTTAGGCTCATTCAGCCCGCCTGGGTATTAACTTCTCTTTTCAGCCAGCTGATTCTTTGCAAAATTAGCACTACCCACAGATTATTGAGAGGTTTTTTTGTCTGAGTTTTCTTGAATCTGACATAATTGCCTTAACCTTCTTGTGCTTGCGATTCCGTGGACAAGGCATTACATACTCAAAATCAAAGCTGTGTACCTTGAACATCTGTAGGACAAGCATTAATACCTCCTGAAGAGGCAGCTGTGTCTAAACATTCCCTGAGCCTCTCCTTGAAATGAGTTGGTGGTGTTCGCTTGACTAAAGCTGAGTACACAGAGTGCCCCACAGAGGTGCCAGCTGTGACTCAACAGTGTTATTTGTTGTTAAGAGTAATCAGAAAGGTCTTAATTCAAAAGCTTTTAATTGAATTTTAGTGATATCATTCTCCTTTTGCTTACCCATGTTATTCTGGGGGTCTACCTCCTGTCTGAGCCGTAGCATTTTCAGAACGATCTCAAAATGCAAGCTGTCTACACTCAAGTTTCTTATAGTACTTCCTGTAAAATCCCCTTGTCTTTGCCTTGTGCATTCTCTAAATGTGGCTGCTTCTACTACATCCTCCAGGCTACTATAATAAGTAGTATTCATTTGGCCAACTGTTTCTTATGTTCAAGTTTCGTTTGAGAGCGTGGATGATAGAACTAAACTTTCAACCGATACCCATTCAGCTAAAGCAACGGAAAAACGTTTCCAGAGGGTCAGCTGCTGCTGTCTTCCCCTCTGCCCCCAACATAAGGAAAGCTACTTGTCTCCTCCATGTCTCTACAGTAAGGTGCTGCAAGCTGCACACTTGTCACCCCACGTACATAGTCCCTATTTCTTCCCTAGCTTCAGAGGTGCTGATCAGATGCTGTTTCTGTTGGGCCTCTGTTCCACCCACTAATCTTCCTGCACTCAGTAACAGCCACAGCAGACTGTTCTTCAGAGAAGAATGGTGATTGAATGCTTAGCCTTTCTTTACATTTAGTCCTCAAAGGTGATTTCCTACAGAGTGATAAATGACACACTTGTGGGACTTTTCAAGTATCTATATGAGGATAATTCACAATGAAGAGCTGAAAGAGAAAAATCAATCTTTGATCCTACCCCTCTTTTCTGAGTTGTCTCAAATCTTTCAGCTTGCTTTTTTTCCCTCTGTGGGCACAGTACTTGAGTAGTGATTTTAATGGCATGCACAAAGGCAGCATCACCTCCTTCATCCTGCTCACTGTCCTGCTGTTAAAGCATCCAAGCAAGTACACTCAGTTCTCTCACACTGTCTGGTTACTCCGAGTAAAAGTATAGCAACATCACAACAGTCAAGAATAGCACACTACCAAAAATGTCATTCAAGCTATCCTTGAAGCTAGAATGAAATCAGGCAGTGCACTCAAACACAAACTATTTTGAGTGAACTATTTTGATAGACTACATTTATGTGAAGGCAGAGCTAAATGGTTAAATGGGTTTCTCTCCAGACTGAAGTGTTTTGTATTGCAAATGAAATGATGGAGCAGATGGGTTTGCAGGCACACCCTTATCAGCAGCAAGCCTCCCTGATAATGTAAATTCTTCAGGGAGCATGAGACAGTTTGTCATTAAACAGTCTCCTGGCAGGTTATAAATAGTTCCATTCTAGTGTTGTGCTGCCTGGATTTATATGGTATGGAGGAGAAAGCTGGACTTTGCAGGAGGATGGGGCATACCTTGTTGGGCCCCAGTTAGTCAGGGAATAATTGAGGCTGGAAGGGACCTCCGAGGTCACCAAGTCCCACCTCCCACTTACAGCAGGGTCTGCTCCTCCCTGCTTCCAGAGCATCCTGTTGGGCTTGAAGTGTCCTGAACAACATCAAACAATGATTAGGGAATGGCCACTAGCTATACAGGAATTTCCTAATAAATCAACAGGTAGTGTTAGGACAAACACAAGGACTTCATTTTAAAACCCTTACTTATGCTGTAAAACTAACTGGTGCAGGGTGCTGAGTCCAAAACAGAAATGAGGTGAAAAGGGCTTATACCAAGTTATGTATTAAACCAGATCCTCTATATGCTGTGGCAGGGAATGCTGCTCCAAGGACGCTGTGTTTCCAGTGATCCTGCCCTGGCAACCACTACTGGTCCTTCTCAAACTCCTTGCCCCAGCAGAACTTTGATCTAGTCTTTTGTGACTCTTTGTATGTTATGTTAGGTTAAAACTGATAGTAAAGGGAAGTTTTAATCATACTGAACTGGAATTGTTCATGGATCAGAATGGTCACTTTGTGTTTTGGGTTTTTTTCTCTCTTGACAGGTAGAGGATGAGCTGATGGCTCTGCAGAAGAAGCTGAAAGGAACTGAAGATGAACTGGATAAGTACTCCGAGGCGCTCAAAGATGCCCAGGAAAAACTAGAGCAGGCTGAGAAGAAGGCCACTGATGTACGTACCTAAAGCTAGTATTTGTCTGCAACTACACTGTGTCGCTTGTGCTACATACGTAGCAGCGACTGTAATCTTTGTATCACAGGACGTTGCTCAGGGGATAGGGAAGGCGATGTTACATTGCAGGTACAGCAGTCCCCCGTCTCCAGGGCCAAAACGAGCTGGGGCTGGCTGCTCTGCACCGGGGGTTGGATGGGTACCCAGAGGGAAGCTTGTAGTGCTGCACGCTCAGGGGTGTCTAAATGCGGCGGGGGGGTGGAAATTCATGAGGAAAGACTTAAGGAAGCAGGAGGGTGATGTTCCAGGGAGGCTGGGCCAGAAGCAGGGGAACCCTGCGGCCTTAAGGATGCGCTTTGGCTTCGGCCACGTCGCAGGCGGGCGCGGCAGGCCCGGCCGCGCAGCGGTTCGCTCTGCCGGCACCACGGGCGGGTCTGGCTGCGCGGGGCCCCCCGCCTGAACCCCACCGCTGGGGGGGGGGGGGAGCCCCGGGATCCCGCGGGATGGGGGGCGAGGGGGCGGGTAACGGGCGGGGCGTCCGCGGGCGCGCCCGTCCCGGCGCTGCTTGCGCAGACTCCTCAGTGCTACGTCACCGCCCCCACCTCCAGCGGCGTGACGTCATCGGCCCATTGAAAGGCGCGGGGCCGCGCGCCGCCACGTGCAGCACCTCCGCGCCCTGCCCGCCGCCAGCGCCGCGCCCATGGCCGCGCCGAGCTCCCTGGAAGCGGTGAAGAGGAAGATCCAGTGCCTGCAGCAACAGGCGGATGAGGCGGAGGATCGCGCCCAGGTCCTCCAGCGGGAGCTGGACCTGGAACGGGACCTGCGGGAGAAAGTGAGACCGCCCGGGCTGCCTGCTCGCCTCTCTCGGTCGCTCTCTCCCGGGCTGCCCTGCTCCTTCCTTCCTGTCTCTGGCTCTCTCTCGCTGGGGCGTGCCTGGCTCTCTCCCGCTCCGGGAGCGCGGCTCGGCTGCCGCCTGCCTCCACTCCTCGGCTGCCCTTCTCGCTGCTCCGCTCCGCAAACTCCCCGCGGAACCCGCCGGGCTGCAGCCACGCCTCGCCCGCACTGACCCCCGGGGGCGCGGGGCATCGGCGGCGGTTCGGCACCGGCCCCGCTGCTTGTCGCGCTTCGGGGCTGTTTTCCTTCGGAAAAAGGCGTTGCGAGCACCGGTCGGCATCGGGGAGCGGTTGTGAGATTAGTAGGAAATGGCTGTTTAATTAGGAAAAAGCGCCGCATGACAACGAGCGGGGAGTTCCCGCCTCTCGGCGCCGCACCGCTGGCTCCAGCACAGCTGGGAAATGTCCGAACTGCTCAGAAATAACTTTCCCTCCTGGTGTGCACAGAGCAATGAGAACTCGCCGCTAGTGAGCGGCTCTCCCGGGGCCGGACAGCTGGTTTCACTTAGATTTGTGTGTGATCAGCCTTCCCGGCATCTTCCTGCTATTTTATCGCATGTCAGCGAGTTAGTTTTACCGTATAAGGACTGCGGGCTGCTGCTGGGAGAGGTGGAGCCAGAACTCCAGCTTCCCAGTGCCCCGTCTCCACAGCTTTGGAATCTTGCTTAATTAAACCGTCTTAAAAGTGGCCCGGCTAGTGGAAGGAGCTGCAGGCAGCCCCGGAGCAGCTGCCAGTTTTCTCCATGATGGATGCTTTGTGTGTAAATCGAGAAAGTTAAACACACAGCACTGGGTAGAAAACAAATGAAATGCTGGGTAATTGATGACTACAGGAATCCTGGGTCAGCTTCCATTTGGATCAGTCACTGAAATCCTTTCCAAGATGGTGCAGCTGCAAATGGAAACCACTTCCTCCAGCTTAGGAGCAGCGGTCGGGGACCCATCAAGTTACTTTTCCAAGTGTTTAACATAAAGCATCAAACAAGGACCTTTCCAGGATCTGTAGCCCAAAAAGTGTTTAAAAGATAATAATTAAAAGCTAATTTTATCTATGGCAGTCGTGCCCAGACTGGGGACAATTTAGTGCACAAACTTGGCAGTTATTAAAGTAGGGCTTGATTTCCTTCAAAGAACAAGCATTTAAAGGAGCAGTGTAGTAATAACCACCATGTATTTAGAGACACTGAGTTGTTGGTGTTGGCTCCATGTGAGCAGCTCTCCCAGCAGCCTCCATCTCTTATCTAGTCTGCTTTTTAAACATTAATAGTGTCTCCAATTAGTCTGCAGTTTATTCAATAACATAGAAACAGATCTTCTTATTAAGAACAGCCTTCTGCTTAATCCCTTAACTACTACAGGAAGCAGTGAAAAGGGGAAGTGAACTTATTTTAAGAACACATCTCATTTTTGCCCTATTTATGTTACAAAGCTGAGGGTCTCCCCCACGCTGAGGCCAACGGCATCTGCCCAGCTGAGCACGTAAAGGGAATGAAATGGCTTTAACCAAGGGCAGAGGAATCTGCTGTGAGGTTCTTGGAACAATCCATGATGGAAACAGTTCAGGTTTTAACTGTGAAATCCAGCGGGGTAGATGCAGCACCCGGATCTGAAAATACTTCTCCATAGTGTTGAGTCCTTTGTTGTAGGGCAGGAATGATAAGTGCCATTAGGAAAGAAAGGAGCAGCACATACTTCATACCTTTAAATTCCTGAGATGCCTTTGTTTAAGCAAACGAAAAGCAGCCCTGGGAAACAGAAAGTTTCCTCTGTGTGCCCAGGAGACGCCTGCACAGGTTGAAGGGAACATGAGTTGAGAGCATCTGTCAGAGCGTGAGAGTGGCTTGTCCGTGACCTGGGTCTGGTGGTTGTATTCCCCACAGGCTGAAGGGGAGGTGGCAGCTCTGAACAGGCGTATCCAGCTCGTGGAAGAGGAGCTGGATCGTGCCCAGGAGCGGCTGGCCACAGCCTTGCAGAAACTGGAGGAGGCCGAGAAGGCAGCAGATGAGAGCGAGCGGTATGGTTCCTCCTTCTTCTTTCTTGTAGAGCAGAACAATATGAATCAAATACTCCTGTATCATTTAGTACCTGCATGTGCTAATTGTGGATGGCAGGTCAGAGGCTCAAAACTTTCCTATAAGCTTGAACAAGTGATTCTGTTAACCTTGAGGAACGGGATGGTGTGGGCAGAACAGGGTATTTTGGTTCTAAATACTGAATTCTGCCTTAGGACCTTTGAAATAAAAGGGCTAAAATGCTTCTACATTAACCACCCTTGCTTTGACTTCTGCAGAGGAATGAAGGTTATTGAGAACAGAGCAATGAAAGATGAAGAGAAAATGGAAATCCAGGAAATGCAGCTGAAGGAGGCCAAGCACATTGCTGAAGAGGCTGACCGCAAATACGAAGAGGTAAAAGGGCTGAGGGAAGGATTAAACACATGGGAGGACCAGGAACAGCTTTGTTACTCCTCACATTACTCGCTCCTTGTACACTCCTCACTGCGTTCAGCTTGGGAACGTGTCCAAAAGGGAGCATCTTAGATGTTTAATACTAAAAACGCCACAAAAAATGTGACTTTTGGGGGAAAAGCCTGCCCTGGCTGTGCGTGTCGGTGTTAACCTGATTTCTTCAGTCAGAAGGGAATCACGGGCATGGTGCTTTGAGAGAAACACCTAAGAAATTCCAGGCTGGCTCCAGAATGGTCGTTTTCTCTCCACAGGTTGCCCGTAAACTGGTTATTTTGGAGGGTGAACTGGAAAGAGCTGAAGAGCGTGCAGAGGTGTCTGAAGTGTAAGTAACTTCAGCTACATGGAAGCGGTTTAGAGCACGGCGTGTTTCAGTAGGAAAGCCTATTCCTGCTAGGCACGTGTGTCGTGTGGGTAGAAAAGCTGTTTTGTACCTGTGTACCCAGTTTTCTCCATTCAGACTGATTCCCTTGTATGTGAAGTCGTAACAGGGACAGTAGTAATTTTGTCTTCTTTTTTTCCTGTAGTAAGTGTAGTGACCTTGAAGAGGAGTTAAAGAATGTCACCAACAACCTGAAGTCTTTGGAAGCTCAATCTGAAAAGGTGGGTTCTGTCAGTAAATGAAGGGACAGGGGCACAGTCGGAGCTTGTACAAAAACCAGAGGGACGGAGAAGGGCTGCGCTGCCCAAACCCAGAGCAGTCCTTGGGTGATTCTCTGCGACACAGCTTTGAGCATGTCCTTTCCCACACCCCCCGGCTGCTCTCAAGTTCCTGATCTTGCTCTTTTGGGGGGTTTTGCCCTCTTCATAACACTTGATTTCGATAATCAGGCTCTGGAAGGTTTCGTGCTCTCACCTGCTCACCTCTTTCTGCACTGCAGGGGCACTTGTGCCTGTTAAAGGACAGGATGATAACGAAGGAAAATGATAACAAAGGGAAGGAAACCCCTTCTTGCAATGGGGGTTTATGGACCGGAGTCTGAAATGTCTCCGGGAGGAGGGAAGCGTGGAAGAGATATTTGCAGCTTGTGGAAAAGGAAAAGTGGTTATAAATAGGTCGGGGCTCCATAAACACGTGTTATTGTTGCTGCAGCTTCCCTTAAAGAGTGTTTATTGTTTTCACAGTACTCGGAAAAAGAAGATAAATACGAAGAAGAAATCAAGATTCTCTCTGACAAGCTTAAAGAAGTAAGTTTGTGCAGCCTCAAACTGCATTTTGGCACCGTGCTTTTAACAGCATCCAGTTACTTGATTTCATTTTTTCTAGGCTGAAACTCGTGCTGAATTTGCAGAGAGAACTGTTGCCAAACTGGAAAAGTCTATTGATGACCTGGAAGGTAGGAAATCACTGGAGTTTCCTTTGAAAGTGGGCAGTTTCCAATCAAAACAAAATCCTGGGAGCGGGTGGTGGATTGTATTGGGCAAGGACAGTGGAATGTGTTGGGTGTCAAATGTCCATCAGTGCCTGTAGGCAGAGGGAGTTCTCCTGATGGAGATTCTCTTTTGAGAAGCTGGTAACACTGACCCAGGTTTGGGCATCTCAGATGTGGGGGCTCCCAGGCCCTTCTGGTGTAACCAGATCACAACCTGCTGCATTCCATAAGTGAAAAATGATCGTTTTAAGGTTAAAGAAAGGGAAGTGTAGGGCAAGCTCCTGCTCTGCAGCTGGGGGGGTTCCTGCTCTGTACTGGTGCTCAACTCGGCATCTTTCCTTCTCTTGTTTCCCTCCCCAACTGCTTCCTCTGCTGCCTCGCCTTCCCTGCTGCACATCTCCCGCTGTCCGCCTCTTCTCTGGACTGTTTTTCCACCTCTCTTGCTGCAACCTGCCTCCTGCCCTGGGGCCGATAGACGAGCTCTACGCTCAGAAGCTGAAGTACAAAGCCATCAGCGAGGAGCTTGACCATGCTCTCAACGACATGACTTCTCTGTGACCTTCACCGGGGCCGGGCCGCTCTGCTCCCCACGTCTCTCATGCTTTCCTTGCCTGTAAAACCTGTCCCTTCTGTGCAGCAGCCACAGGCGCCCCTTCTGCCTCCTCTGTAAGAACCGAGCTCAATAAAACCGAGATACCTCGACCTCTCCGCTTTGGGCTTTGCTTCTCTAGAACTCTCCTACAACCCACAACGGTGACACTGACCATGGCACCAAGATGCACACATGGTGCCGGGGCAGGACCCTGCACTTGGGGTCGTTGAATCAGTGTTCCTAAAAACACACATAGCAGCAGAAAGCTCTGAGCGTGTTCAGTGTGTGCTGGCAGTGCTCCATCTGCTGGGTTAAACACCTTTGGGACAGCAAAAACCCTGAAGGATGTAAATCGCATGTTAATTATGGTGCATGACATGTGAGACATGTACAAAAGCCTCACTGACGGAGCAGTTACCAAAGAAATGGGTCTGTTTTGTGAATGCAGTTACAGCGGTGTCCCAGACGTGAAGGTAAGTAATCATGGGGTTATTCAAAGAGAAAATAACGTGGTTTAAGTCTTGGTTTTTCTTTCTTCCCAGAAAAACTCACCCAAGCCAAAGAGGAGAACCTGGGCTTGCACCAGACACTGGACCAGACACTCAACGAGCTGAACTGTATATGAAACGGTGCCGGCCGCCCGCGCCGCCAGGCACTGCCCCCTCCACCCGCACTTCCCGCATCGTCCCCCGCACCCTGCCAGAACCCATAAGTTATGGACAGTGCAGCTGCACCCGAGGCCTTGGTGCCGCCGCGCCCCAGGAGCCAGCCCTGGTGCCACCGCGCCTGCAGCCTGCAGGAGAGCGTGAGCCGCACCCAGGGCCGCTCTGTGCCGGTCCCCGCCAGCGCGGCCGCAGCTCTCGCTCCCGGTCCATCGGTCGTTTCTATGCAGCCCCGGTAGAAGCCGTCCCCGCGCAGTAGCGTCGCCCCCGCCGCGAGCCTCTCACCGACGTTTCGTATTAAACCGTTTCTCACAGTTACCAACGCGTTCTCGGGGCCTCTTTGTAGCGTTTCCGTTCGGGTGACGTCACGCCCCAACACGTCACTCCCAGGCGTGACGTCAGTTTATCCGCCCCGCCCCGCGCGCGTCTTCCGCCCGCAGCGGGAGCGCCGGCGCCGGGTTCCTCCCGTCGGAGTCGGCGGTGACGCGCACCGCGCTCAGCCAATGAGGGCGCGGCGGGCGCGGGAGGGGCGGGGCCCGCGAACATGGCGAAGACGTACGATTACCTCTTCAAGCTGCTGCTCATCGGCGACTCGGGCGTGGGCAAGACCTGCGCGCTCTTCCGCTTCTCCGAGGACGCCTTCAACGCCACCTTCATCTCCACCATCGGTGAGCGCCCGCCGGGCTCGGCGCTGCCGCCGCGCTCCCTCCCTCGGGCCGGTACCGCTTTGCTCCGCCGGGCAGCGGCGGGGGAGGGCGCTCGGCCCCGGGGCTCCTCCGCCCGTGACTCGGTGCCTTCTCTTTGCAGGCATTGACTTTAAAATCAGAACCATAGAGCTGGACGGCAAGAGGATTAAGCTGCAGATATGGTAAGAGCCGTGTCCGGGCCACGTTCCTGCGAAGTTTTGGTTGCGTTTGTGCGCTTTGGGAGCTCTTAGAACCCCAAAGACAGCTCCGGTGCCCCCAGTGACTCCAGCGGCTGGGGGCCGTAGCCGCTGTGTGCCGGTGGTTTGCGTGACCCCCGTGTTCTCTCCGGTGCAGGGACACCGCCGGGCAGGAGCGATTCCGAACCATCACAACCGCCTACTACCGGGGAGCCATGGTAGGAGCGTGGGGACGGGCTCTGTATTTACCCGGTGCCGGTGCTGGGGCAGTGGGGGAGCGCCTGGGGGCAGGGCCCCTCCATGAGCAGGCGTCCCGGGCACCTTCCATGGCCGAGCAGCCGCGGCTGTGTTAGGCGGAACCGTGACCCAAGGGTTTCCAGCGTAGCTGTTGTTCAGTGGCTGCTTTGTGCTGTGAAAGGAGAACTTTAACTCCTGTCTGAAGTAACACCCGCTGAAGCTGCCTCCTTCTAATCTTTAGGGCATTATGTTAGTCTACGACATCACCAATGAGAAATCCTTTGAGAACATTCGGAACTGGGTCAGGAATATTGAAGAGGTAATTTCTCTGTTTCCTCACTGAATGGTAAAGGTGGTGTTTCTGCCAACGAAAGTAGTTGGAGCTTTATTGCTTCAGATGCGTTGAGCTCCTTTTGAAGTTGAAGGGAGCCAAATGGAGTGCAGATCAGTGGTAGTGACTCCTGGAATGCTGTGGTGAACAGTAACTGAGGGCGGGACGAGGGGACCCAAGGGGTGATGTGTTCCTGCTGCTGCAAGTGGTCTGGGAGCGCTTGTGGTGCAGGACACCCACTGGGACACGGGCTGTGGGCAGCCTGTAAATCCCTGGGAGGTGCTGAGCACCAGCACCTCCATGGTAGGGCCTCGATGCGTGCCTGGGCTCCCGGGGCAAAGCCTGTGGTGTGTTTGTGTCTCAGCACGCCTCTCCCGATGTCGAGAAGATGATCCTGGGGAACAAATGCGATGCCAATGACAAGAGACAAGTGTCCAGGGAGCAAGGGGAGAAGGTGAGTGCTGCAGCGTCACCCCCTCGCAGCGGGGGTGGAAGCAGCCGTCGGTGTCGGGCCTGGGGCGATGTTTCCAGGTGGAGCTATCGAGCCTTCCCCAAGCTGCAGCTGCAGGGCCTTGTCCTGCACTGATAAAAGCTGGGTCTGTGGGAAGGGTTCGTGTCCCTTCTGTGCTCGCCACATGCCAGGCAACGGCCTGGAGGTTTCCTGAGCCAAAAGGAAGAAAAGGTTTGCTGGAGCTGGGCATCGAGGAAACGTCTCTCCTTGGCTGAGAGCTGCTGAGATGAGGAGGCCGGGTTGTCTTTGCAGCATCAGGTGTTAGTTGAGGTCGAGGTGGTACATTTGCACGCTGCAGATGCTACAAGGCTGAGAAGGTGTCCACGCGAGAGCAAATACACCAAAGGAGCAGATTACAGCGTAAAGCAGCCGAGCAGAGCCGGTGGGAACCGATGCTGTCAGGAAGGAGATTCAGTTCCCAATATTTGCAGCTTGTTCTGCTTGAGCAAATCCCCCCATTCCCATGAATCACGCCGGGGGGGAGGTTGGAGCTGTTCCCTGTGCTGCCCCTCGGGTTGGAGCTGTTCCTGTTCTCACCTGCAACTGGTTTGTGTGCAGCTCGCTGCCAGCTTCGGGATTAAGTTCATGGAGACCAGCGCAAAGGCCAATATAAACATAGAGAACGTGAGTACCGGGACCCCCCCTGCCCCTTGCAGGACTCATTGGCTTGTGCAGATGGGGTGGGAGCACTCGGTGCTGTGTGGGGCTATGAAATGTCCTGTGAAGACCTTCGTTGCCCAGCGTTGTGCCCCTTTATTTAATATGGGATGTGCCACAGGGGGCTGAGAGCAAAGTGAGAACCTTGGCTCGTGTCTTTGCATCACTGCTGTGATTGATAACGGGCAGCGCTTTCCTGCTCCATAGACCTGGGCCTGCAGGTGTGGCCTGGGCAGGGTTTGGGGCTCAGAAGGGAGGTTGGGAGTTGGAAAAGGAGCATTAAAAACCCAGAGCAGGGGGGAAAAGCTGAGAACTTGGCTCTTCAGGAGCTCGGTGTACATAGAAGGTTGGGAATGCAGCTCATTGCTAAGCAAAAGTGTTCCTGAGTGCATCTTATTTGCCATGTAACACCCAACTGTTGCACTCGCTGCAGGCATTTTTCACTCTGGCAAGGGATATCAAAGCAAAAATGGACAAGAAGTTGGTGAGTAACTTTTATTTCATCCACGTTGTATTTCAGTGGGAAACAACCCCAAAGCCAAAGAGTGTGGAAGAAATATTTTGTGGTCTTTTACATGGGGAGTGCACCAAATGTCAGAGGAATTAGTTCCTAGTTTTGCCAGGCCAGGCTCTGACCTTGGCTTACCACCAACTGTCTGTGCAGTGCAGGAGGTGGGTGCAATGGGTGAGCTTCTCTGTTCTCTTGAAAGGAAGGGGTAGAGGTGTGGGTCTGGCTGTGGATTCCTACGTGTTTGAGCATTTATTGGGGGCTTTTTGTCCTGGCTGCCTCTGCGCCCATGGAAGGCAGGAGAATGGGTGCAGCGGGTGCTAGAGCTGAAGGCAGTGGCTGCAGTTCTCTGCTGGATAAGTAACAAAATACTCTTTGTGTCTGCAGGAAGGCAACAGCCCCCAGGGCAGCAACCAGGGCGTCAAAATCACCCCGGAGCAGCAAAAGAAAAGCAGCTTTTTCCGATGTGCTCTTCTGTGAGGGACACGGCCTTAACCCGAGCGGCTGCTCCCTGAGCTGGACTCTGCCTGCTCCGAGCGGGCTTTCCTCTGGCTGTGGACTTTGCATTCTCAACCCTGTCACGTCGCGACCGTACGAGTAAGGAATTGGTTCTTTTAGGAATTGTCTGACTCTTCAAGTTTGGAGACGAAACAAGTTCATTTCTGTCAGATTGCCCCGGGCCGTGTTGTCTAGCAGAGGGAGTGCAGAGCACCTGAGAGCTGTGCTACAGCACCTTTGCTGGCAGGCTTCTACCTTCTGGTTTGTATCCATGATATATCCAACATGGAGAGATGAAGTTACGACCAAAACAAGAGATGGAAACGCCAGTACTAGTGAAGTACAGGTATGTGTAGGTGAGACGTGTGTGTAGCCACGTCTAGAGGTGCATATAGAACAATTGCTTCTAGACAGCAAAGAATTGTGCTGCTGTGAGCAGTAGAGGCGTGTACCTTCTTGGAAGGTAGAAGGAAGCTTTCTGGATCTCCACCTCTTGGCTGCTATAGAGAAAACCCCTTTATCTGCCTGTTACAGTTGTGTCACTGTGGACAATCCACGAGTACATCTGAAGTTAAAAAATAACCCTCCTCAAAAGAATCTCTTATTTTTTTAAGAAACCAAAGTGTGCTGTAAATGGAATGGTTCTTTCCCAGCAGGAATTATGTTCTCCTTGTTAGACATGACTGTGCTTAATTAAGAACTCCAGATGTTCAGATGTGTTTCAGAGGAGACGACGGCTACAGCAAGTCCCATGCGAATGGTCTGTGGTCTGTTCTTAGAGAAACAGGCCTTGGTTCAGGCAGGGACACTCACTCAAGCATTCCAGCTTTTCCTTCTCCACTTGAGAACAACTCCAGATCTGTCGTGATGTAATAGCTCAGTTTATATCGTGACAGGAACATGTATTGCACTGCTTCCAGTGGCGTGGCCTCACGCACACTTTGCTCACGTATGCAAAGGAATGTTGCACATGCAAACACTTTCTGCAAACCAACCTTGTGAAGCTGAGATTTGCCTCGCTGCTGACCCGGATTTCAGGCAGCAGCAAAGCTGTCACTGGTGAGCAGCAGTGCAGACGGTGTTAGTCCTCAGTGGAAATAGTCTATGTATTTATTCTGATACACACAGTCTAGTACATTCCAATGTGTAAAATGTAACAGCCAAGTAAAGCTCCTCCATAGCTCATTACTGTCAGTTCAGAGGCTGTAAGCCTGACTTCATTAGGCTGACATAAGGAGCCAGGAAGAGCCATCTCCTTCAAAGTCTGCTGTGGAGTGATTGCAGTTATGGTGTATTGAATTCAAGCAACCGTATCAGCTGTGTCCTGCAACTCACTGGAATTGTTCACATGCTTTGTTTACATCGACAACTGCACTTCAAGGGTAAAATTAAAGCTGATTTTAAAGTTAATGAATTTACTCACCAGTTTTGTTTTCTCCAAGCTTGTGGTATTACAGCCTGGCCTCGAAGGAGCGCTCCTGAGTATTGCTGTAGTTAATGATCTGTCAGATTCAGACTGAAACTAGGAGTCTGCAGCATGCAGCTGGGCTCAACAGGAGCATTGCCTGTTTTTCTAGAATAGAAAAGGAAGTTTTCCTGCAGAAGTTACTGGTTTATAAAAACGCATTTTCTGTGCTACCAACCTTTTATTTTATGTTTAAAGAGCAGATTACAGTGAGCTCTGTTCGTGATTAAAATCATACATAGAGCTTCCCTCTAACCAGAACCTTATGATGTTGTGTTTCTTTTTTTGCTTGCTTGTGGCTTTTTAGTGTGAGGACTTGGTGACCGTGCACCATAGGGGATGTACACACTGGTGTGTCTGTAGGATAAATCACTTTAAGCTACTGAAGAGCCTTCTAGTCAGTATGTGCTTCAAAGCATCGTTAATGCAGAGCTATAGATTGGGCAAGCAACACTTCGATCTTGAGATGAGGATGCTTTTAAAGAAACACTGTGCATGCTTCAAGAAATGACTGAGGCAGAGGTGGGGAGGTCATTAAGGCATGGGCTGAATGTCATTTTCCTGCACAAAACTCATCTGTTTAATGATTTCTTTCTGGCTTGGTAGTAAATGTGGATTGTCTCACATCCATCCTTCTACTTCAGTAGAGCCAGATGCTGCAGCCAGACTTTTTCAAAGGGACTGGAAAAACAAGTGGTTGGTCTAACTTGATGCCATGGCCTGTCCACAATGATGCTGCCTGGCGGCAGTATCTAAACTGATAACTCGTCTTGCAGTGATAAAACAAACTATATTCATTTCCAAGTAGATAAAACTTGAAGGATGGGATTGTGGTTTTCACTCCTCATTTTCTAAATCTGAAGTTACTCTTTCATTCAAAATGAGTTCTGTATGTGAATACCTTTTGTTTCAGCCTGTGCTGGTTGTTGCACATGTTTATGTACCTAATTTATAGCGTGCTTTCCTTTTATGACATGATTTGGTTTACTCCATGAACAACTACATTACTGCCCAAACTCAGGAAGTTTCATAGTTACTGTGATTACAGTCATCACTGTACTTCTGGGGTCTACGGTCTCAACACCAATATTAAATCAGAGCAAGCAATATGAAACATAAAATGCAAATGTAAGACAGTAAAAGGTTGAAGAAACTGCAGTTGTATGTACACTTGACTGCATGTTGCTAAACGTGGACATCAAATCTTGGAGAAGGATGATATGTAGTTGATGTTTCCATCACGTAATTAAATTACTGTGGGTTTTAAGTTCTGGAAGACACGAGTCTGGAAAGAGGTACTGTGTAAATACCTCCAGTAACGTGTTTGAGCTTTCTTTAAGGGAGAAAAGTTTTTCAATCAGATACAGGATTTGTGTAACGGAGGAATTTCAGTGGATCTGAAAAACTAACTCTGCTTCCTGCATGTTCTCAGTGTCTAAATGCCACTAAAATTTCAGGTAATGGAGTAACACTTGGTTTGTAGGGAAACAAACCCATTTTTGAGCATGTTCTCAAACTCCCTTCCTTTAATGAGGATCACAGAATTCTGTGGCTGACCTTACTTTTGAGGCTGGTTGCAATATTTCAGATAGTCTTCACCCCCTTTGGGTGTGGGCCTGTCAGGAGCTCGTCTGTCAATAAAAAGGGGAACTGCAGTCTGAACACTGCCATTTTAACACTTCTGTTGTCTTGGTCCTGTACCAATGGGCACACCTCATATTCCTTGACATCAGAGCCTTATGCCAGCATCAGACCTTCAGCCTCAGATTTATAAATCCTATGGATTATTGTAAGTCTCTTTACTGCTGCTGAAACTTCTTTGGTGTCTCCCTTCATGTGAGATGCTGCTCATCTCGCTGACAGTTGTTAGGGGATGATGATTGTAGTGGTGGTGTCTTTGGCTTGATGATCATGCTCAAAATCTACCATGATTTCTTGTTCTTTTGGACTTGAACTGGCTGGTGTCTGTGCTGGAGAGGAAATGGACAAACAGCTGCGTGGAGGACGGTCTCCATTAGTACCAGAAGCTCAGAGGGGTTGGGAAGGAATGAGGCTAACTTCTGTCTTTATTTCTAGATTAACTAAGGAGCCGTTCAATTGAACGTTGATGGTAACGTGCAGTCTGATTATTTCAGGCTGCCTTATTCTCTGACCCATCTCTTCCAGTGATCGTTGGAGATCTTGTTCCTGTGGTCAATGCAAGTTTTTTGGGCTGGGCTCTCCAGCCCTTCTGCAGGAATCGGATGCTCTACGTTGGGCGTGAGTTGGGACTTAGGGCTTTGCTTTGAAGGGAACTTAATGCATCCCAGAATTTTGTAAAACAAGTGTAAATTGTGTTTTTTAGAATGACCACTTTTGGCTGCCACCCTTCCCACATGGCAACTGCTTTCTGAAACACTTCTCCTTGATTTCCATGTTTGTATGAAAACCAGACCTCTTGTTTATTACAGTATGTATGTTTTTACTCTGTTGTACAGGACCCTGAGCACTGCATAAATAAACTTCTTTATGAAAAGAGAATTTTACCAACTTAGTTTCAGTCCTGTTCATCACTCGTGCATGCAGGTTCTTGTGTGGGAAATAGGATTATATATAGGAATAGAAAGGAGGGACAGGAACCTGGGGGAGGCTCTCTTGTCCTTGGAAATATGTTCACTTCTCATTATAAATTTGAAAGTAGAAAGCTCTTCTCTGTATAGTTTGATACAAGTTCCTTTATTACCTGGTGCTATCTATTTCTCACCTCTCTGTCTAGGTCAGATTTGCTTTAGCTGGGGGGAGGGAGGAGGAATAAAGTTTTTGTTAACATTGCAAGGAAAATAGACATTTTGATAAATGACAGAGAAATCACGATGAAGAGCTTAATGAATTGCTCTTTCTAAAGATGTAAAAGAGACAGAGTTCTGCGACTGGTTCAGTTACCAGAAGTTGTCCTCTTTGCTCCCTTCCTTTTGCTCCCTCATGGACGGTGATCTCAGTAATCGTTGTTGGAGGTTCAGGAAATGCTTGCCTCCACATGTTTCACTAGATTCAGATTCGAATGTGAAATGTGCTATTAAAGAAAGAGGAAGTAATGATCACTTATGTGTCGATCAATTAAAAGGATTCACTACAATTAATCCTATAAATTGGAAACTTTGTACATTAAAGAAATGCAACATTTGAGTGCTGCTTTGTGCACAGTGTGTGTCAGAAACCACAGTAAGACTCTGCCAGGCACCATCTCGTATACTTCTCGGTGGAGCCTAAGAGCTAATACATTTTAAGTTGAGGACTTAAATGTCCAGAATCTATCAGAGGCTCCAAAAGCAACTCAAGAAGCCTCCCTGCTTTTTCAAGCATCTGTTTTACCCAGTGGACAGCTCTACTGCTTCTGTCAGGGATCTGCAGTGACTGAGGAGACATAAAATACACACTATAGAGACTTCTGACAAAAAAAATAAGATCAATCTTGTGTTAGAAATGCAAAGCAGGTCTTACCTAAGGAAATCTGGAGCCCGTATTATCATATGCTGGAAGTCTTCCAGAGACAGCTTGCCATCGTTGTCCACGTCAGCTTCGTAAATCACCTTTTCACATACAAGGCTCACTTCTTCTGGGGTGAGTTCATTTCGGGTTAATTTGTTGACTGTTTTCTCCAGATCAGATTTGCATATGTAGTCATCGTTGTTAAAATCTGGCAAAGGAAACAAAAGGGATTCAAAGTGACAAAACTCAGCCCTTTGACGTGGTCGACTGCCAAGCCCTAACAGGAAAGGTTTGGTTCCCAGGGCATGATGTATTTACGAGGAGAAATTTCAAATCAGAAATGCTTATCTGTGCTTGCTTGTATAAAAATGAAACAAAATTAAAAATCCTGGAATAATCCCCCCCCCGTCATACTTAAGGGGAATGGTTGTGAATAGTTTCATGGCTAAACATAGCCTAGCCATCCTTAAATTGCTCTAGTAAAGCACTACTACTGAACTAAAAGCAAGAGCTAGTTAAGTCAAAGGAAGAGAACGAGCTGTGCAGTTTTGGTGGGGCTTTACTTCTGTGAGACCTTGGCTGAATCATGCACAGTTTAAATGGTGAGAAAAAGCTGTTGGTTGGTTGATGTATTCTTTGGCTTTAGCCGATCATAAGGAAAGTAACTGCAAAAAGAAAAACAATCTTTCAATTTGTCCTTGGAGCAAGATGCTCCAAAACCACCCCACAGGGTATTTATGGGCAGCCAGATCGCTTGTGCTGCGCTTTTCCAAGCAGTCCCTCAGACACAAGTGTTTTTTACATGTTTATCAGCTCTTGAAAGCTGCAGATAATTTCAGGTTGTAAATTTTGGAGTAAACCCTAACCCCAGATAAAGAAGAGACAAAAGGGTAAAGACGACCAGAAGTTTTTAGGAGAGACTTTCAAATGCAATGAAATGAAAGGCTGTATTAAAACATGTCTAACTAGCATCATTACTGTGACAAAACAAATTATTTTGCATCCCTACACGAAGCTGCAGGATCTCCCCAAAGTTGACTTTTTAATGCACATCTCACTCACCATAAATTTTAAAAGCATAATAAGCTTTCAAGTCTCTGGGAGCCATTTCACTCATCACTGAAAACATGTCCAAAAAATCATCTAAAGTCATGTTGCCATCTCCACCCTCTGAGAAAACCTCTGCTATCCGCTGGCGGAACGGGTTGTCCTGGGAAACAGAACACAGGAGCAGGGGAAGGTCATCTTTACCAGCACTTATTTCACTGCAGAGAAGACAATTGGAGCGAGATTATTTTTGCTGTAACCTCTTTTTGGCAAGTGCTCCCTTTTCTGCTGTTCTGTTCTTGTAGGCAGAGGTAGACACAGCTGCAGCCCTCTTTAACCTTTACGCCGTTTCAGAGTGCTTTCGGGAATCACTAGAAGCTTCCAGAAAGCCTTTTGACTTCAATAGCCAAAATTTCTTTGTATTTCAGCCTCCCAGCAATTAGTAGTGGATAAATTATTCAAACAGGGTTAGATTAAACCGAAATGTGTCACTCGATTCCAGTTGTGTACCTTTAGCTCTGGCATGCTGCCAATGAGTTCATAGGGAAGTGTCACGTCTGGTTTACGTGTGTAGTCGAGCGGAACTAGCTGTGGGGCTAGATCTCGGTATCTGTAAAACAGTCTGCAACAGAAAGAAAGATTTGTTTAGGGAACAAGTTCTGTAGATCTCCAGGAGCAGTGTGTCTTTTCCAGGACTGCCTTTTCCATCTCACTCCTCACGCTTTGCGTGCGTTACCAGATCGGTAGCAGTCACTAAATAACGTTTAGTGTGCTCTGTAGTTGGTGGTGGAAGGGAGTATTAAAAAGAACTCTTCAACTGGTGAAAAATGCAAAGCCTTTCATATTCACGGAACAGTCAGGTGAAAATGCTTACCCAGGTCAGGCAGCCAAACCACTAGATACCGTGTATCTGAAACCAGAATTTTACAGTTTCAGATGTATTTCTGCTTTACGACTGGGTATACTTAGGTGTCTGTGTTTATGAGAACAAGGCACAAGACCTTCCACATGCAGGTCCACCTAATCAGTTTCCAAACAGAGAAATGCTTGTGGCAAGGCAAAAGGGATTTATTTTCTGAGTCCACAGTGAATGTGACCAAAAAAAATGGGCTTAAACTGGAGCATGAAAGATTCAGTTTAAACAGCAGAATAAAACCCCGAACGCCTAAAGCCATGGGCAGGAAGAGCTATCTGGAACTAACTCTAGCAGGATTCTATCCACCCTGAGTATCTTCCTGTTTTTCATAGAACTCAGGGTCAAAAGACAGAAAATGTGTGTAAGGATATTAATTTATCCAACACTTTCATGATGCTGTTTCCTTTAGTTCTCGTGCTAGAGTAAGGAATAAGCTGTTGGTAACAGCCATTACCAACAAAACAGTAGGGCAGAACCTTAAAAGGGATCCTTATCAATAATAAATGTCTTATGACACAGTTATGGCTCTGGCATCTATTTACGGTGTGGAAAGATGACTGGTTTAGATTTCAGTTATTACAGAGCCACTCACATTTTATCCTGTCTAGAATTCATACACAGATGTGCAGGTTCTGAAGAGGGACATGCTCTGGACAAGGTTGTTACCTTCAGCTGAATTAGCAAAAAACAGTGGGGACATCTTGAGAGATGCAGAACCTGAGCACTTCCCTTTCTGCTGGAACACCAAATGGTTAAGAATGGCAAGTGCAACTTCAATAGTGTGGGTGTTACTACCTGAGTAAGGATTTTAATGAGAGGAGAACAAGTTCAGGTTTTCAGTGAAGATTCTCAGTCTTACATGAACAGAATACTGAGCCTGTCTTTGTCAGATCCTTTGGCCAGAGATTAAACGGAGTGCTTGATGGGGTGACTGAAGGCTTTGGGAACAATGCATCTTAGAGCAGTATCATTATTTATAAGAAGACATGAAGAAAATTTGACATGGTCATGAAGGTTTTCATAAACCAGGCAAAGTATTCTGAAGAATAACAGTACACTTGGAAGCATCTGTCATAAAACAAGGCGAAAGGAATGTGGATGTCCCTGGCAAAGGAGGCACTGATATAACCTTTTACATTTATCTCTGTTAACAAGAGAGAGACTGGTACCTTAATACAGAATTTAGGATTCTGGCTCAGTTTAGGATAGATACCAGAGAGTTTGTACACAAAAAGGCAACAAAAATGCTCTGGCTTCCCAAAGGTATCACTCTGAATTTGTGTAAATCCATTTCCAAACTATTTCTAAATACCTCACCCTATATGTAACTCATCTTTATAACAATCTCTGTCTTTTACCCACAAAATGCATATAGAAAACTCACCTCAGTATTTCTTTCCTTGTAAAGAATGTGCAGTCCTGTGAAATAAGAAAAGATATAACATGTAATGCCGGTATTTAGCATGCACTGACCCAAACTTTTCCCATATAGCAGCTTAAATGGAGTTACACTGCAATATATGTGGCCAAGCATTAAAGCTCTTTCTTTTTGGCACATAATTAAGAGTATTTTATAACTCTTCTTCTAGATGTAAGAATCAAACTATGTTAGTAAAATCTTTGCTGTAGTTTAGTACTCCTAATTCATAGTTTTTAAGAGAGTTTGTTTAAAAACCCCATTATTTGCCATTATTCAACGTTCTTTCCAAACAGCCATTTAGTTTGTTTTGTACCTGATACGCATCCAGTTGCTCTTGAGTGAAAACAGTTTGCTTGTTGCCCATTTCTAGCTCTGAATGCTAATTCTAGTCCCATCATTCTTTCCTCGGGGACACCTTTATAGGCAGGCTGGATATTCAGTTATTAAAAGCTGCAACAATGAGGTTCAGGTATAGCAGAGGATCAAGTAACCAGCTTCCCTGTTCCCCAGGCTGTAAAGTATCATAATAGGAGCATTTCATCAAATCTTTAGTCTCAAGGCTCTTATCCAGCATCACTCACCTGTCTCCGGTGTGCACAGTGGAGACTCATGTTACAGTATTTACCCAAACAAGTAACAGCAGCTGGTTTATGTCTTTGAAGCAGCAGGAAGACGTCATGGGGCATGCTTTTTTATCCCTTCACCTATGGTAAAATAACGGCAAAGCATCAGTGGTGTCTGTCTGCTTTAAGAATTAACACCAAATATTAGGAATTCATAACAGTGATGGTAACCCCTCATCCTTTCCTTCTCACTGCTCCCTGTAATACACATTATACACTAATATACCGTACTTTGTGCTGAAGGTAGTATCTATAAAGTCCAGTCCCTTTATTCTGTATTATCTGCTGATATACATCACCGCCACTTAATGATTATTAGCGTGACATGCATACGTATATAGTGCATATACATGTTCATACATGTGAACAGACATATGATGTTACAGGCTGCATGGAATATGCAAACAAGGGACGGAGGAAGAGGAGGCTGCACAACCACAGCCTTTATCTATTGATCACCTTCATTTCCTGGGCATTGCTACTGTGCCCGGTGTCCTCCCCTCAGTGAAGGAAGGGGCCTCATGCGCCAGTGTGCCTTCAGACAGAGTCATGGAATCATGGAATGGTTTGGGTTGAAGGGACCTTAAAGCTCCTCCAGCTCCAACCCCTGCCAGGGCAGGGACCCCTTCCACTGGAGCAGCTTGCTCCAAGCCCCTGTGTCCAACCTGGCCTTGAACACTGCCAGGGATGGGGCAGCCACAGCTTCTCTGGGCACCCTGTGCCAGCGCCTCAGCACCCTCACAGGGGAGAGCTTCTGCCTTGTATCCAGCCTAAATCTCCCCTGTTTCAGTCTGAACCCATCACCCCCGTCCTATCGCTCCAGTCCCTGATGCACAGCCCCTCTCCAGCATCCTTGCAGCCCCCTTCAGACACTGGAACTGCTCCGAGGTCCCCACGCAGCTTCTCTTCTCCAGGCTGCACAGCCCCAGTAAACCCCCCCGGGAATGGCGCTGCCCGGAGGGACACCGCGAGTGGGGCCGGGTTGATCCCGGCGCACCCCGGAGCTCCGCTCCCTCCCTTCAGGGCGGCCGCGGGCCTTCCCTCACGGCGGGAGGAGGCGGCGCGGGGGGGGGCGGGACGGGACGGGACGCGCCGTTGCCGTGGTAACGCCGGCGCCCGGCAGGGGGCGCCGTGGCGCGGCGGAAGAGCCATGGCGGACTACGAGGCGGTGCAGCGGGGCCCGCTGCGGCTGAAGGGCGGCGGAGCGGGGCTGGGCGCCGGCAAGCGGTGAGTACCGGGGGGGAACGGGGGGCAGCCGGGGTTGTGCCCTGACCGCCCTCCGCCAGCAGGAAGAAGAAGAAGGCAAAGGACAAGGCCCAGATCCTGGAGCAGATCGTGAGCAGCAAGAAGCAGGAGGAGGAGAAGAAGCGCGGCCTGGACAAGCGCACCCCGGCGCAGGTGGCCTACGAGAAGATGCAGGAGAAGCGGGTAAAAAACGGCTTTAAAACCCCCTTTGGAGCCCTCAGAGGCCAGCCCGGAGGGGCTGTGGGTAATTGGGCTCTCTTGTGTCTGCAGCAAATGGAGAGGATCCTGAAGAAGGCATCCAAAACCCATAAGCAGAGAGTGGAGGTGAGCTGAATTACCCTGATTCACGCAGGCTGCTGAGGCTTGGTGGGCTGGGGGAGCTGTTTTGCCTCCATGAAACACGGAACCGGGGCCTTGTGGTGATGTCAGCACCAAATACTCAACGTTCTCTTCCTCTTTCTCTCCCCTTAGGACTTCAACAGGCACTTGGATACTCTGACTGAGCACTACGACATTCCCAAAGTCAGCTGGACAAAGTGAACGGGCTGCTTTTCAAGGCTTTGGACCAGGGGGTGTGTTTTGTTGGTGTTAAGCAGGGTTGCCATGTGAATGTGTGTAATCCCCACACCCATCGTTTATCTGTCTCCCGAATGTTGATGGATTTGTACTTTTATTTTGTTGGTTTGGGTTTTGAAACCGAATGTTTAACAAAATCCGTCTTTTCTGACGAGCTCTGATTTATGATTGTGCAGAGGGTTTGGGGGTTTTTAGTGCTTACAGCAACAGTAAGGCCACAATCGATTGCTGTTAGCCAGCTGCAAAGGGTTCCTTTATTTATTTGGTATAGTTCTTTTCAGACATCCAGGCCTGGCAGCCTCTCATAGCATAAGTTTCTCTTGCAAGAGAGAGGAATTGTATAGTTTGTTTCCATCTAGAGGCGGAGGGTGTGCTGTAATGTGTAACATTAATGTCACTATTAAAATGCCGCTTTCATCCTTTTATTGGTGCCGATTTACCTATAAATGGGGGGGAAGAATTTGCGCGTGGAGTTTCTGTAGTGCCTCTTCTGTCTTTATAACTCGCGCTGCCTTTGAGACATGACATATGCCATGTACCTCAATTAAAACTCCAACATGCCTCTTAAACCTGAATATTGTTCTTGACTGGGAACACCATCCCTCTGCTCTTGCTGCCCGGAGCCCTCCCTCAGCCTGGGCAAACTTTCCCCTCTTACCCGGTGCTGCTTTCACCACCATGGGGGGAGGAAGACCCCGGGACTATTTACCTCCGCCCTCCGCGGCTGAACGTGTTCTTCCGCGGTCCCCTGCGCATGCCCCTCCTCGCAGCAGCCGGGTCTCGTTGCGCCGCTTCCTCCCGGAAGCGGAAGTGGGTGCGTGTGCGGCCCGGGCGACACGGCGGCCCCGGCGGGCGGCGGGGCGGCGGCGGCGATGTCGGCCAGCGCCGTCTACGTGCTGGACCTGAAGGGGAAGGTGAGGTCCGGCCGGGGCTGGAGGCGGAGGAGCGGCGTCCCTCGCCCCGGCGGGGGTGCTGAGGGGCCTGGAGGGTGCCCCGGCCTCGCTCGCTGGGGGCTGCGGGAGCCGCGCTCCCCTCTCCGGCACCTCCTTGCCGCCAGCCCAGCTTCTTGAGGCACTGCGGGCCTCAGCTGTAGCGGGAGAGTCGTGGCCTGTGGCTCGGCTCCGGGTGCTGAGGCGGGTGGCTGCGGAGAGCTGGGGTGCGACCTTGGGCACCCCAGGGGTAATTAATCTTTGCACTAATTGGAGGGAGTTTGTCTCAGAGGAGCTGGCTTGTTTTCCCGTCTCAAAAGAGTCGTTGGGGCTCGTGCGGCAGTAGGTGAAGAACAATGAAAAACATCAGTGCAGTGAAAGGTTAAGGAGTCGCGTTCTAATCAGTGTTTTAGCGTTGTGGTTTGCGTTTGTGCAATGGCTGGAGTGAAGTTAAAAGTTACTTAGTGAGGCCTTCCAAATACCTCGTGCATTGGCCTTGCATGGTAACATCATCTCGTGAAAGAGAAAAGAAAGATGAGTTTGTCCCTCTCTTCGTAGGTTCTTATCTGTCGGAATTACCGCGGAGATGTGGACATGTCAGAGGTGGAGCATTTTATGCCGATCCTTATGGAAAAGGAAGAAGAGGGGACACTTTCTCCCATTCTAGCACATGGAGGAGTTCGTTTTATGTGGATTAAACACAACAACTTATATCGTATCCTTTATACTGCAGATAACTCCTGTGTGCTGAGATACAGAGGGCTGCTACAATATTTGTGTTGTTTTGTGTCTAAATGCAAAGCTGGAGAATGGGTGAAGTAACATAAGGAGGCTTTATTAAATAAAGTTGGTTTATGCTTTGCATGGAGCAATGTGCACCAGCAGGACAGGGTGCAGAAAAGGGTTTATGTGAATTCTACTCTTTCCCAAAAGTTTATCTTCATTTCTTTCCTAAAGGCATTTATTAAACTTTTGTTTTTAGTGGTGACTTTGAATGCATTTTCCTGAGCATCCTTTATCAGTTGTTGCAACCTCCAAGAAAAATGCTTGTGTGTCACTGGTGTTTTCATTTTTATATAAAGTAGTTCAGGTGAGTATGAAATCTCCAAAGTCACTTCTGGCTTCTTTTCAGTTCAGTCTAAATCTAATCTAATTAAAAATGCCTAGAGCTTTCCCACAGATAAAGAACTCTATGGTAGTAGCGTTTTTTACTTTATAGTTGGTTATTTTGTAGAACTATCTTCCTGTAGTAATGGAATTGATATTTTGTAGCTGAGCAGGCAAAGGATGTGACACAATGCTGCAAGTAGTTGTACAAGGCCTGAGAACATGGAGAATGGTGAACTTGCTGCATGAGTAGTGGCATATTGTGTAGTTCCTATGGTTGGTTCATCTGTACCTGGTGTGAAAAAGATTTTCTCCAAAATAATTATTTTTCACAGTAGTTACAGTTGCTGTTAGGATTCTCTTAACTCTTTTAACGGAGGTGGATTTCCTGAGGCTGAATCTGCTGAACAGAATGCTGTTTGTGAATGAGGGTGTTTGGTTCAGGGCTTTTTAAGACTTGTGATTTTAGATACAAGAAGACATTCTGAATGTGCTGTACTTCCCTCAGTTAACATCCTTCTTTCTCCCCTCCCTCCTGTCATTTTGTTTCAGGTTTTTTCTGAATATTTCAAGGAGTTGGAAGAAGAGAGCATTAGGGACAATTTTGTTATTATTTATGAGTTGTTAGATGAGCTTATGGATTTTGGTTACCCACAAACCACTGATAGTAAAATTTTACAAGAGTAAGTATCATTCTGTGTCACTTACAGTGACAGACTTCTTGGAAAGTTTTGAGCATCCTTCCATATGCAAACAAATGCTTTGCTTTGGTCTAGGTAGCAAAAGAATTAATGTTCCTTTTCTTCATGCCAATTGTGTGTGAAGGTACATCACTCAGGAAGGCCACAAACTTGAAACTGGAGCTCCACGTCCACCTGCCACTGTTACCAATGCTGTATCATGGAGATCAGAAGGGATAAAATACAGGAAAAATGAGGTGTTCCTGGATGTTATAGAGTCTGTTAACCTTTTGGTGGGTACCTTTTATTGTAACTTTGAATGAAAAGTGTAATGGAAAGTGGTGAAAGTGCTTTACTGTCTGAAAACCTGCAGGTTGCAATAAAAAGTCAGATTGACTGTGGCAAGTGGCCTGTGCTGCTGAAAACCATGTCAGTTATTGAGACCCAAGTACTACCCATAAGGACATCCAGTAGACAAACAGTGCTTTACTTGTATGCATTGTATAATCATAGAATGGTTTGGGTTGGACAGGGCCTTAAGATCATCAAGTTCCAGTCCCCCTGCCATAGGCAAGGTCTCCTCACTCTAGACCATGTCACTCAAGGCTCTGTCCAACCTGGCCTTCAACAGTGCCAGGGATGGAGCATTCACCACTTCCCTGGGCAACCTGTGCCAGTGTGTCACCACCCTCACAGTAAAGAATTTCTTCCTTGTATCTAACCTGAATTGCTGATTTCTGATCTGTCCTTCCCTCCTCTGTCTGTGCCCATCACCTCCCCAATCTAATCTGCTGGATTAATTTCTCAGGTGAAAGACATCCTAGAAGACTTGGGACATGGGGATGGGGTGGGAGTGCTTGATGTCCTAATGTATCCCATCAGAGCAGTCTTTCTTTTTGTTTTACTTCAGGTCAGTGCCAATGGGAACGTATTACGGAGTGAGATAGTTGGG